CTAGTGGGTAAAATTTGTAGGAATCATGCCAATGATTTGTAGCATGTATATGGTTAGTTACGGCATGCAATCAAAATCTTTCTGAACAGGAGAAAAACTGTCTGACTCACTTGAGTCAACTTTTTAATAAACTTCTCAGCAATTGATCTCTGGACTTCTCACAGCCATAAATATTTGTAAAACAAGAGGAATACAAGAACACCTTTTGACTTAAACTTCTAACTGGCATGCCTATAATTAGAAGTATCTCAAGCAAAATTTATTTCTGAAAGGATAATTTTTTGGAGGTTTTCTAATTAGTTTTGAAATAAAACTATGCAGGAAATCTGAGTGGAGAGAATAAAATCAGGAATTAAACCTGGATCCAGTATTACATGACTTAAGTCTCTCAAGAGGGTACTGGTAGTTAGTAAGGCTCCACTAAATGCTGTAAGGTGAGTGTGTGGTTAAGGGCTTTCCTAATGGGGTTCCTAGAAATCTGAACCATTTCAAACTGTAAATATTTTTGGACTGATATAAGGCTTGACACACCTGAGAATGGTTAAACAACTATACAGAGACATTTACAGTGTTTAAAATCTGCAGGACTTAGTCTAGACAAAAGGTGTTGATGACTTATATGACTGACTTTTATCAGTGTAAAACACACCAAGGATTAATATTATGTAATTTCTCTTTTTCTGTGCTTAGTTTTTTTATTGCACCCTCCCAGTTATCTCACACGGATTTGGGAGTTTTTATCATATGTTCTATCTGATATTTTGAAAGAAAAGGTTGATACTTTTCCAGAGCAAAGAGAAAGGATGAAGTTTACTGCAGGAAAGATGTGCAAGGATGAAAGAAAGCTGGAGTCTGAGGGGAATAAGAGGCAGTACAGAGATCAGGAATTAGCATCTTCCTTATGGCCACATGCCTTAAGCTTTGTGTCATGGCTGGTGCAGTCTGTTCTGGTAACAGTGCAGCACAAGCTTTCTTATCCAACCACATTTCTTCTCCTTGGGGTTTGATCCAATGTGGAATCTAGACAAAAGCAATCACATCTCCTAAACTTTGAGGAGATGTTTTTGCATGGAAACTTCCTTTGAAAGCCTCTGAGTATGTGGAAAAGTAGATTTCTCAGTCTTATGGGCACAGATTGCTGGGACCAGGATTCAGATAGTTTATTTGGGCAGGTGCTCTGTGTAAAGTGTTTTGAGGGCTGCAAAAGAACAGGCTAAAGCAGGAATAAGCTGAGTCTGTGACTCCCCTTAGGATGAGCCTGTGTACTGTGAGTCACTGACTGAGTGTGTGAGACAAGAGCTATTTTGGCATAAACTGTTTATTCTCATCCAGAACATGAATCACCTGCTTCTGAGTGTATCTTTTTTTTGCTAATTTGTATTAAGTAAACAGTTTTCAGAGGCTTCAGTACATCCAAATATGTGGGTTTTACTGGCACAGTGGAGGACCTTCCAAGCAAAGGAAACTCACTCACCTGTTGGGGCCAGTATTTTTTATATTTTTCCCAGAAACATGTCTGAGTAATCACAGCAATGCCAGAAACACTATCCTGCTGCAAACTTATTCCCAGGAGTATCACTAGGTAAAGACACTAGTGCAGTCCAAATTGCCAAGAGATCTTTACTCACATTTTATTTCTGTTAGTCTTTTTACTTTGTCAACTTCTACCTTTGAAGGAAGAAGGTCTTGTTTAAGTTAAAATCTGAAAAAGGAAGAAGAAGTTGATCTGATGCACTGTCTCTGAAAACACTGCACTTGGGCCAGAAGTTGTCCTGGTGACAGACAAGCTCCAATTTGTAGTTTTCTCTTTAACATAACTGGTATAAAAAACTGTGGAGGCTGAGAAGATCTGTGGCAGTGTAGAGGTGCAGTCTGGGAGAGAGCTGGCAGAAGACCATGAGAGCCTTCAAATTCCTTGTTTCCTTACGGATGGTGCCATGGAGATCTTTATGAAGCTTCACATGAGATACAATATGTCTTAAAACCACAATTAGTTTATTTGAACTTGTTTTTCTCTTGTTCTTGGCAGGCAGAGGGGACTAATCTGTTTATATGTGATAATTTAATTTTCTGTTTTTCTTTTATACATATAAAGAGAGGATGTGATGCATTAATTCACAGGTTTTGGTATAGATCATAGCAGAAAATAAAAGCAATGGGAGCCACATTAGGTATATCAATAGTCCACTCTAGGCATTGACATGTATTTGGTGCGCTGTATTTCAGATGGCAAAGTCCTGTTCTCACCCCTTTTTCTTTGACTCTCACTGGGCAGCTTCACACTCTTTTCGAGCTCTTGTTAGTAAAAGTTATGTTAGTGTCACTATGAGCTCAAGTGGCTGGCCAGACTTAGGGTTACTCATTACTTATTGATCACCTTGGTTCTGAGACAAACAGTTCACAAGGCAAGATGAATACCTATGGTTCGTACCATAAATCTGTTAGGGGAGGAAGGAAGGATGGAAGAGCAGTCTGGGCTGGGTGATCCCAGTCTGAAATAAGTAATGCTGTAGGAGCTTTGCCCATGGCTCCTTGGCTCATTCCTTTGATCTGACATCTGAGACAGCAAACACAATATCAATTCCAAATGTACACTATCAGCACCCAGGCCTCATTGTCAAAGGCTGTGTCAAGTTACCTTCTGAGGTAGGTGGTCTAGTGGACAGGCTATCCACCACTGAACTCCAGTAGCTTGTGACCAAAGGCTTAAATACTGCAATCAGGCAGACTCCTTTCCCACTTTACATGGGGAAAAAAAACACCTAAAAAGTAATTCTCTTGACATTTTTCATTGCATCAAGTTTGCCTTTAACTTGAGTATTTCCTGAAGTTGATGACTTTGACAGCTTTGTCACTTGAATTTTAAAATAATCTGATTCATATTTCTAGTCCAGCACATATCATTATCTCAGAAGATAAGACAGTATATAACTAACTGCACCTTTCTTTCAGTGTTCAACTCTACTGAATTTCTGTTTGTGACCAAAGATGCTGTTGAGATACACAGCACCTTTGATCATGCTGTTGAGATACACAAGTTGCTCTTGCTTCATCATGAAGACCTGGCACTTGAGTATTCCACCCTAAAACTGTGGCTGTGGAACTGACCTATGATTTCAGCCCCACAGAAGTTGATTTCTTGACTTACAAGTTATTTGCCACAACTCTGACCTTCTTCCTTCTCTCTTTTTAGAATGTGTTTGGGAAAGATTCTGGAAGATAATTCTTATAGCTTTTTTTCACTTGCTAAACAAAATACAAACTTTTATTTTTTCCTTTTTTGCCTTTTTGTCCTGGTATCTGCTTATCTGTAATTAAATATAAAAGGCATTAGTAGCTATTCTGTATTGTTATTTAATCTTTTGTTGGGTCAAATCCTTTATTTTCCTTCTGGTGTCTTTTGAAGATATCTCTGTTGTGAAGTAGTGTGAATATTAAATTGTGCATATTTTTCATACTAAATATATGTGAACTTTTTGCAGGATAGAAAATATATGATGTGTTTAACAATCTACTATAATTACTGTTGTAAGCTTTAGTCACTGGAGCTAATCATTAAGTGGTTTGTTGTTGCAGCTGGTTGATAAGCTTTAATTCATGTTGTTAAAATCTTCCTCCTATTTCTTATTTCTCTGACTGACCTGACTTTCCCATAATATGACTAAGGAAAACAGGGTGGTGCTACAATGTGAGCCAGTTATTTGTTTTTGTATAAAAAAATTTCTAGAGAGAAGGAGGTCAGGGAGAGAAACACTACGGTTCTTAAAATGACCTGACGTTACTGCATGATGTCCAGTAATTGGTTTTTTTATCATTAATAGCTTTTGCACATGGGTAAGTAGGACTGCTTGTCTTGAAGCTTCTTTTGTTTTCTCAAAATATTCAAATTATTAATCATTAGGACTTCACTAAGATTATAAAAATCACTGGCAGAAAGTTGCTTTTTTTTTAGGGAATAAATAATTTTTAAATTAAAAATTATACATTTATTATTGATAATACCCTGATGGGATATCAACTTCAATCAGTTCTCCTATTTCTTGAAATTTGACACACCTTGAAGAATGGAAATGCTTTTGAGAAACCTATCTTTCTCTTAAATTTCAGTTTTAAATTTCAGAACAGCAGGTTTTAAAAGATTTGAAGTATGAATTATGATTTTGTTTGCCAAAACTAAGATGTTTCTTAATTTACTCAAAGTAGTAGCTCTTTTGTATTATGTATCAAAACAGTTTTACGGTAGAAATGTGAGGATTGGCTGCACATGATTGGAAAAACAAAGAGGAGTGGGAAAGGAAAAAGGCAGGATAACTTTTAAATGAGACAAGCTGAAACATTCAGACACATCAAAATATTATTGGAAACAGATTTTTGGACCAATTTCATTTTGCAACCACACATATGCTTTTCCATCATTTTAGGAGAGTGGGTGGAAAATAAGCGTATTAGTCTTAAATGCAAAGAATAGGACTATGTCTTTATCACATATTTTGTACTCATCTGTGTCCTCCACAGTGAGGGGTTTTTTTAGGGCTTTTTTGCTTGTTGGGTGTGGGTGAGGTGTTTGGAGTTTTTTGTTGTTTGTTTGTTAGGGTTTTTTTGTGATTTTGGTTGAGGTTTTTTGTTTGTTTGCTTGTTTTTTAAAACAGTGTGGCAGTTAGGTAGACTTAAAAAACTTGGGGAAGATTATTTTGTATTAATTGTCTGCTTAAAAATATACCACTTACATAAAATCTCATGTATGTCTACTATGGGAAACCATGCAAGTCTGTTGTATGGATTTGTTATTTATGGGAAAAATCCTGCTTACCATTGCTTTTAATAATTGAAGCAGTTCTCCTACTATCTTTAGTTCCACTTAAGAAGTCAACGCTAAAAATACTGGAACTAGCAAAAGTGGTTTAATAGTGAGGCATATCTTGGCACCTGTTATTTCTTTTAATTTAAGTTAGCTGTGATATTTAGTCAAATATTTCACTTGGGAATGCTTTGTTTTTCAGGATGGGAAGAAGAAGTTTGACAAGGAAAGTGAGAAATATTATTCCATCTTAGAGAAGCACTTAAATTTGTCAGCCAAGAAGAAAGAATCTCATTTGCAAGATGTAAGAACTGAATACACTCTTACCTAATTTCACATTTGCATAGAAATCATGATAACAAGCTGGTTCTCTTCAAGACATGCTGTATTTTATTTAACGTGAAATTGTGATGGTTTCTGGTCACGCTTGTGACTATAAATTCTTGACTGGGATGAAAAGGACCCAAATAGGAGTTAAATATTTGAACAAAGCAATATTCTATGTTTGCAACTTCATGTATTTCAAGTACAGCTAATGTTTATTGGTTGCAAGAATAGAATTATATTAGTACAATAAAAGTGTGAGTTTTATAAGCTATATGTGGAATACTGGAAAGCCAATTAATTTCTTCTCGGTTTGCTAGTTAATCTATTAACTGATGAAATTGCGCTTCTATTTCACATAAATTCTAATCCAGAACTGAGATCACTTTAATAATGCTCTTTTCTGCTTCTTTTTTTCTCCTTTTCATCTTATTCTGAAATTGAGGCTCCTGAAATTTCCCCGAAATTGTATCTATAACTTCAGCTTTGAAGAGTCTGTATGGCTGATTCTTTCCTGTTTTAAAAAAAAAAACAAAAACAAAACACGAAGACTTCTGGTTTAACAGAAAGATTCCAGGGCTTTTTAGTATGCTGATAGAAATTAATATAACTTGTCTCTGAAGCAAATTACAATAAACCCAGCAATATTATATCAATGACACTTTGGGAATTGTGCCAAAAGTAGTTAAAAATCACTTTGATGAGATTACTGTTGTCATGGTGAATCTTAAATCATGGGGGTTAGTTTGCAGATGGAATTTTCACCAAAGGTGTGACCATCACTCAATCATATGTTGTAGGATTTTTTTTCATGTTTACCAATAATATTATAATTCAAATAAAATAAGGCTTAGAAATTAAAAATTTCTAATAATGTCTATATGGCTGAATTTCTGTTGCTGTCTATATAATAATCAGTCTAGATAAGAAGCTAGTTATGTAGGATTGGTTTATTGTTCCACTTGTATGTTAGAGCTTTCACTTTTCCCAAATATCTTAGGTATTGATAAAGAACCAGTTCTTGATGAAGAACCAGTTAGAGGCTAAACCCTAGCTTAAAAAAAGAGAAATTCTTACCAAACTGGGGAAAGTAAGCTTAAACACTAATTTGTTCTAGAATAGAAGCTAAATAAAATAAATAAAATATTTTCCTCTTGAGACATGAGAATAATTACAGTCTAAAAGCAGCGACTGAAGTGCAAAGTACCAACTGTGAATCTAGTAAAATAGTGGATTTGGGTCACAAGTATAAACTAATGGAAAACCAGAACAATTTTTTCCAGTGTGTCCTTAAGTGGCATATCTGGATTTAAAATCTTGTAGCTGAGGCTGAGGTTTCTGATTTCTAGATGCCTCGCTTGTAAAGAATAAAGAGCATAACTTGGCATTTCTCTCTTTAGCCATTTTCTGCCGCTGTAGATGTGCTGTATCAGCAGCATAGACCCACCGTAAGAGAAGGTACAATAGCAAATCAGTACCAAAATTGTCAACCTGGGAGGCTTTTGGCCTCTGTCTATATTGGAAGTAAAAGTAGGCCAAGCCCTATTCCTGACCTGAAATTGCTTTGCATCCCGAGCGGTTTGGATGAGCCCCATTTATAGCCCGGATGTCCAGGATGGAGTTTGTTGGAGCAGCCCACAGCAGAGCAGGGCACGAGCAAAGAACCAAGCAGTGCTGGCAGCTGGGGCTTTGGTGCCCAGAGCAGGAGATGGGAAGTCCATGCCTCAAGCCAACATCATGTATTCAGGGAGGTGGAAATACCATTTTTTGACTGCTACATGGGAAAAATACTTTGAATTGATGAGGTTCCTTAATACCTCATCACATTATGTGAGTTAAAGAGTACTGGGGTGAGCAAAGATCTTGTACTCTGTTGGGTTCTTCTACATATCTCACTTGAGTCCAGTTGAGATCACTTAATTAGGTATCTGAAGTTTGATGGTTGAAACATATTCTGTAGAGAGTAGTTTGCATATATTCACCTAACTGAAATATGTTGGATATTTTAAGAGCCTGCAAGACTGCTGCTGCAGTTTACACAGGTGACTGGCTTTTTTCCTTTAGCATCAAAAAGCAGCTTCACAGTAGCATCTTTTCACTGCCTACAGAAGCCTACAATGGAGGAGAAAATGGGCATAATTGAGTGATGTGAGAAATCTAATGAACTTCTGATTTTATTTCTCTGAAATCTGTTCCAGAATCAGTCCCCAAGCTTATGTGAAGCTCTGGTATATATATTGAGGTGATAGCCTACATCAATGAAAATACTACTCACTATAACTATACATCATACAGGTAGAGACTCAAAATCATATCCATCAGATCTCCTTATTTTTTACATGCAGTTTGAACTCACAGAAAAGCATTAAACTTTCACCTTTGGAAATTTTAAGATCACTTTCGAAGCAGTTCTTACAAATCTGAATCCTTTGGTGTTAACACAAATTCATAAGCTTCTACAGAATATATGTTTGGGGAAATCTGATTTAGTCCCTTTCCGTGGTGGTGATTATGGCCCTAAACCATATTTGAGATGGCACTTGGTTGTTGTAAGTATCATTACAACTGCAACCTGCTTAAATGCTGTTCAGAGTAGGGATGGATTTAATTAGGTGTTTAAATACTTTTTCTGAGGCAAAGCCTAAAAGAGACAATTTCTAAAACTATTTCATTATTTATGTACAATTAAATGAGAGAACTGAGATCTGTTTCAAGTGCTTATTGATGGTATTTGTGTGAGCAAGGCGTTGCTGGATCGCATCCCACAGTGGTCGCAACTGCTTCTGTTCAGTTATGTAGCACTGTCTTTGTGATAATTATTGTGAAATAAAGCTATTAACAGACTACCAGGGAAAACACTAGCCAAACACACTATATGAATGGCAAATGGCAGAGTTAATTTTAAGGTAGAGCAGTTCATTATTGGAATTTTGAGTGCTTGATTTCAGCTTCATATTATTAGTTTACTGATTTTTTTTAATAGACATAGGAAGGAGATGCTGGTACTGAATGATTTGAAACATATCCTTGAGGCCCATGTGTTGAAGCAGAGTTAGAACACTGGGCTAGGAAGGTGAATCAATATTGTTAAAATCCTGTACAGCCAAATCACAAGAGTAGCTTTTCCTTGAGTAGAGAAGCAATCTTAATTATATATGGTGCTATTGATGGCCAAATCCTGCCTGAAGGAAAACACTGACTTTTTGCTTTTTTACTGTTAAAAGTACTAAATCTCTTTTATGATGTGTTTGCTGGTTTATAGTTTGTTGTCAAGGGAAGACAACATCACGCTTTCCCACTTTCCTTGCATTTGTTAATTTTAATGCCAGAATTAAACTAGAGAACATGCAGAAGTATCCTTCTGTATTTTAACTGACGTACATCAAAAACAGGTGATCTTATTCATGTTGTTAATCTGCTGTAGTATTTTGACCAAAGAGCAAAGTCTAACTAATACAGCCCAAAAGGGATTTGCATGAGAAAATGATTTGTTATGAGGAAGAATGAATTAGAATGGAATCTTCATGTCTTCTTTAAACATCATCTATGCGCTACACTGCTTGTCTGTTAGTTCCCTCTCCTGTGGCTTGTTCAAATTGAAGATAAAAGCCTATGACTCTTTATCAGCTGATAAGAGTTAATTCTTTAGCTGTTTAGGCAGAAGACACTGTTCTGATACTGGATCTCCATGTTGGGTGGTATTAGTCAGGCATTTCTGACAAGTATTGCCTTGCAGTGCTGTCACTTGAAAATTAAAACTTGAAATATATTTGATTTATGAGGTTAGAGATTTAAATATGTTTACATTCCAAGAACGTGTGACTCATACTATAAAAAAATAAGTTGCAAGATGTCATTGTTAAAGACAGCCTATTTAAGAAAGAAAATATGTTTTTGTGAAGGTATTTGAACCTGAGAAGTAGATACAATTTCAGTGCATATGATACCTAAATATTTCAATAGAAGTAATTATCTTTGTCCTTGATTCCTACAGTGCTCATTTCTATTTCCTTTTCTAAATTTACATATTCCAAGTACCTGCTGCCACCTTTCTTTCCAGGCTCTCCTAAAAACTAGAATATTAAAGAGCAAAAAGAAAGAAGAAGCCAAAAAAGAGGAGTAAAAGGCATAGGCTGAAATGTGTAATGTTAGCTTTTTAAACTTGCATTTAGCTTTTTTGAGTAGGTATTCTAATTTTCAGACAGAAAACTGAACTCTATGAAACTTTTAAAATAATCTTATGGAAGATCTGTTCCTTAATGACATAACCCGTTTTTAAAGCAATAACAAGACCAAACTAATGTTGTTCATATTTAATCTTGTCTTTTAGGCAGATACACAGATTGACAGAGAACATCAGAACTTTTATGAAGCCTCATTAGAATATGTTTTTAAAATACAAGAAGTACAAGAGAAAAAGAAATTTGAATTTGTAGAACCTGTAAGTTTTATGTTTTATTTTCTTTAGAATGCATGTGTATAAAGCTGAAAATTGAATTTAAAATACCAATTTTTTTGCTCCCTTTTTAAGTTTTGAATGCAGGTTCTTTGTATACAGACAGACATTAAGATCTTGGCTTGGGCACTTTCCATGTTTATTGAAGGATTATGTAAGAGTTTAGTATCTACTGTAAAGTGAAATGTCTGATGACTTGAAGTGTGTGTAACATTTTAATGGGACATCATGTAATGTTGTGTCTGTGCAACACATAATCGATGTTTCCTAATACCATGATTTAATGGCTTAAATTTTGAGCCAGTTTTTAATTTAAATATTCTGGGTAGGCAGTATACACAGACATTGTTCTGAGTTACACATGAAATAAAGTGAAAAATCATTTTTTCTGTGGATAGGTAAGTTCATCTTATTGTTGGCGGAGTCATTTGCCTTTAGTTTACTTTGCCCATAAAGGAATGCATGTGTTGACGTGCCATTAAAAAGATAACGTTGTGTTTCAGTGTCCATATTTAAGTCTGGGATTTCCTTCTGGACTGTGTTTCCATCCCCCACTCCTAACTCCCTATTGTGTCAGTCAGGTCCAAAAGCAGCTTCATGACATGCTAGCATATTTCTGTGGCCTGGTAGCAGTGTTACTACTGTTCATGTCATACAGACAGGGCTGGCTTGCCAGTTGCCTGATGTAGTTTGTACCTCTAGCCCCTGACAGAAAACTTCCAGTGCCATGTGTCCCTTCCCATTAAGCACACTAAGCACACTGAGCACAGCAGAGTCCTGGTTGTCAGAGAAGAGCATAACAAGTGTAACTTTTCTCCACACCATCTCCCAGCTTCCTTGTAACTACTCTTCACTGCAAGCAAGCAGCACTCTTCACTGTGAAATGGGTTGAATTACATCTCTAACACCCTGTGTCACCAAGGAGAGCTTCTCAGATGCCTTCTTTCCATGAGATGAGAGTATTGTATACTGAATGTTTGACATTGATGCAAACTAATGAACCTGGATTCAGCAAGCAGTACTTTCAGAAATCCTATCTTTATAGCATACAGCTGCCAAATCTTAGAGACTAAAACTTTGCTCGGATTCCTAAATAAGGACATTTTTCTACCTGTCACAGATTAATCCAGAGTGTGTGTCTCTGTCTCCTTCTGCAAAACTCTCACATCCTGGAAAAATCTAGCAATCTTGACCTAGCTCTGACCCTAGTGTAGAAGACTTTATGCTCCTTTAATGTAATAGAAACTTTCTGTATTGAAAAGACCTTGTACATTGGAAAATATTGTGCAACTGCACAATAGTTAAAATAGGTAAAATTTACTTTTAAATGTATCTATTTCCATACTGTCTCAGATCAGTAGGCATTCCAGCCCAGTATGGCATACTTGATTGTCCAGGGGAAGGTACAGGAAATACTCTGGTGACTGGGTAATGATAGGCCTTGCAGGTAATGTCTTCTGACTTTGTGTGTGAATTTATTTACAATCAATCTGGATATAAACGGAGCTTACATTATAATATCAGTTATAAAATTTTGAATCCTCAAAACTGAATTCTTTTTTGTAGTCTCTTGCATACAACGTGCTGAATTAAGAACATTTTCTAAAACCCATAAGGCATGTGCCTTATGTGAAAAAGTAAATTAAAATACAGATCAGCAATACCATGGTTATAGAAAAAAACAAACAAAACAAATCAAAAACACCCAAAGACTTCAAAATAGGCTTTCTAAAATTCATGCTTATGTAAGAAATGTTGGAAATATGAGCATGTGCTCCTAGATGAAAGGTCTAGATAAGGAGAAAGCCTAACACTTTAAAATCAGGTATCAAAAGAATTGTCATATTATTAATTTTCCTCTGTGTGCTCTATGAATGTGCATATGGCAGATGATGCCTGGTGGTGTGTCCATATGGACATTCCTCCTCAGGAGCTCTGATGGTCGTGAGACATTCTCGTGTACGTGCTGCCTGTGCCCCTGAGTTATCAGCACGGTGTCACGTCCTCAAATAATTCTCAGTCTGACATCTTGCTAACAGACTCGCTGAAGGAAAGTTTAACAAAATAAATCTGTTAGTGCAATGAAGGAGGAAATTGTGATGCCCATGCAAAAGAAGGATAAGTTTGGGATGTGGGAGTAGAACTTGAAAATCAAATGATCTGTTAAACATCCTTTCAAGACCTTTAGTTTTTCTATGCCAAAGGATGAAGACAGTCTGAGAACCAGAGTGGGAGAAGTAACCTAGCAAAAATTGCCAGGTGGGTTACAGCTAGGACAGTGGGAGTCCGTAAAAGCAGAGTGTGTTATCTCCTGGAGGAGATTCAGGAAAGATTTTAAGGTACAGATGCTACTGACTCATACAGTGAATAGAAGATTATAATATTTAGAGTAGATTTTTGCAGCTGCTTCTCAGGCCCTAGATTTCTCTTTGTTCTCTGCATCTTGATCTAAGTGGTTGTTAATGTGTACTAGTGTGAGTAACTGGCATATTCCTATTTGCAATCCTCCTAAATCTTGATTTTTCCAAGAAAAAAAACCTCAGGTTTTCATACAGATAATGAATTTAAACTTTTTCTGAAGGACAAATTAGTATTCAAATTTACAGCTGGATAAACAATAAAGCAAATTAAGTGACAATAATCTGTCTTGCTAGCTTTTCTCTTGTGATCCCTAGGAAGCTAGTCCAAGCCAACAGTGCTTTCTGAGGATGTTATGCTTGTAAAACAATTCAAACACCTTCCTAAAGTTCTGCTTTGTCCTTTGGTGATGCCAGGACTTCCTTGTCCTGTAGAAATCAGGGCACAAAGTTCATAAGCAGTAACCTATCTGAAATGTGAGGGGTGGTCAGTTAAATGTTTATTTAAAGAGAAGAAAAAAAGAACAGCCAACTGGAAAAAACTGCCTGTAATTGCATGCATTTCTATGAGACTTCATAGTGGACATTAAATTTAAGTTTCCCTTTTTTGCATTTCTACATTATTAACTATGTTCACTTTAATCTGAAGAATAAGTGCTATCTTCTTATAAATAAAATGAAAACAGGGAGACAGGGACTTCTGGCTGATGTGCTGCAGGCCAAAGGTTAAATTCCTCCCCTATCCGAAACCTAAGTACAATCTTCTTCCTGTGAGAATGAAACGACCAGGCAGTCTTGAGGTCAGCAGCTCTACATAAAAATAAATAGAGTCTCAAGAAGTAGTTGGATTTTGTTTCGGGTTCTCTGTTGAAATCCTTGTGGCACTGGTGTGATGAGTAGCTTTGTGTTATGGAGTTCAGACCTCAGTCTTTACTGATGTGAATGATCAGGCACTCAGAATGAGATAACGATAACACACTTATTAAAATAAAAAAATTGTTGATATGAAAGCATCAGACATTGTTTGTGATGTTTGATGAAATAACCTACCTCTTACTTAATGTGTGAACACCACCTCAAAATACATTCTGGAAATTTTCTTAGAAAAGAAAAGGGGCTGATTTTTTATTCTTGTTTTTAATATTTGTTGCTCTATTTAATATGAATGTCTTTAAAGTTATGAGCCTGCCTTTAGCAGCAGTGCTTCTTCAAATGCCAGCAAAAAGAAAATCCAGCTATAAGTATGAGCCTAGGGCAAAAGACCATGGCCTTTAAATCTCTTCCATACAATGCTATGGCTGTACCTGTTCTAATGGAAGTGATTTTGAAGATGCCCTAGCAGCACAGGCCCATTGGGCACAGGGCATATTCTGCATTCCTGTTTTTCCATTGCTAGTGACATGTACATTGAAGTGAATGCCATCCTCAGTGTCATATCAGCACACAGCTTAAAAATGCTGATCTAGGACTTGCATAATACTTTTATTCCTGTTTTTCTGAGTTCTCAAAGAGTGTTTAACCAGGAAAGCCTCAAGGCCAGATCCTCTGCAATGCACAACTGCCAGAATACCTGTGAACTACTTTAACTAAAATTAATTCAGATTTTTGTCCGACTTTTGGATTGGTTTTTTTGGGTTGGGTTTTTGGGGTTTTTTTGGTTTTTTTTTTTTTTTTTTTTGCTACTGTTGTATTTTTGCTTTCAGATAAATTCAGCTTTGCTGCCATCTTGTGTTAAATATTTTCCTTGGTATTTCTCAGTGTACTCTGCAGAAGTGTTTCATGTGATGTAAAATGTTTTCCTTCAAGTATTAAAGCTGAAATTTATACAATTTATTCTCCTGAAATGTTCTTTAAACTGAGCTCTAAAAGTCAGGCATAAGCTGACGTACTGAAACTTTGTTCCACAAAGTTTCTTAATTGTAATTTTGGTGTGCATTAGTGTGGTGATTTGGCTACAGTTTTGCCAAGTGTGACTCCTGCACTAGGGGTGGGTTTAGCAGCAGGCTCCTGCTCGCAGGCTGTGTTAATTCTCACATTCTTTTGACTGGACCAAGTCAAAGTAAGCACAGAAGTAGTTGCCCTGTGACATCTGAAGGAATTGTAGCTGGGGGCACTGATGAGTAACTGAGTCTAGAGTGTAAGAACAGGCTTCACATAGCTGGAGCCAAAGCAGAGCTTTAGTTATAATTTGCATATTTTGTACTTTATTCATAAAAAGGAAGATTAATTTTCTTTCTTTTCCTATAAGTAGTTATTTCCAGAATTACAGAATTAGAATTATAGTCAAGAATTACAGAAAATTATAGAGCTCTTTCTGTCTGTTTGCACAATTGGAGGTTTTTAATATAAACTATTGTACTTGGACCTTCCTCAGAAACACTTGAATAATCAGTTTAATAATAATAATTTCAGGGTCCAGTCCTTAGCTGAGATAATAATTTCAGCTGGACAGATGAATCATGTTAATGTGAGATTGATTTACACAAGATATGGAGCCCTCTTCTTGAGATTGTATTGCCTTCATTGTTTGATGGTGGAATATGGTTCAGGAATTCACACCCAGTGTAGAGGCCCCCACAAAAACTTGCTTTTTGTGTCCAGAGATCTTCTCAGTTCTTCAGGCTCCATGACTGGCTTACTGGGCAGCTGTGGGCTTGCACCATCTCTGCCTGAGGCCAGGCTTTCCTCTGCTCCTGCAATAGCAGTAAAAACCAAGGGCAGAGTCCTTCTCCCAGCCATACCTTATATTTGTGTCTGAACTGATGGTCTGTTCACCTCCAATTGCTTTAACTTACTAATGCAGCAAAAGAGCAGGCAGGTAAATGGGCTCTCAGTAGTCTCCTAGAGAGTAATGGGAGAGAGGAGGCAGAACAATTTTGCTACAATTCTTCAAGTAGGGCTGAGAGTAAATTTAAAGAAAATATATGCACAGTAAAAACTACATCTTTACACTATTCCACTTAGAGTAATCTATGGTACTGGTAGCACAAAGCAAACACTTTAAATATGAATGATGGCATTTCTGTTGCCTGAGTCTAGACTACTTCAGTAGTCAATGAAGAGAGATATATGTTTCAATTGGATCATTCATTCCATCCTGAGAGAGAAGTCTGAAAAAGGGAAAAGAATTATGCTCTGGAATACCTGTGGTTCTCTACTGAGTCAGACAGCCTGGAGAGCCAGTTAGTTAGCCCAGATGATAATGGTGTAATATACTAATGCAAATATTTTTTATTGTTAAAAATTTCTGTTATTGTAAATCCAAATTAATTTCTCTTTTTTTTTTTCTGTTTTCTTTAACTTTTTTTGGTAAGCTAAATTATATAGACCAAGAAAGCAGTCTATGATAAGAAATTAAATGCTTGTAATTTAACAGCAGGTAGGGTGACTTATAGCAATGTCAAAACTCTTAAAATTTAAAGCAGAATCAGTTATAGAAGGCTTTTAAAACTAAGAGATGGCAGGAATGCATTAATTCAAGAGCTGAAATCTAGTGGCCCCTTTTACTACTTGAGCATTGTTTCAAAGCAAACTTTAAAAGAATTCTTCAGCTGGGTACATGCAGACTGTGGTGGTTCTGTTGGAGTTAATCACAGACATACCAGATAGAGTTTGCATTTTTTTCAGAGCAGGAAGAAATAGTCCGGGTTTCTTGTGTTGTGCTAACCTATCCAAAACATATTTTCTAGAGTCTCATTTGTGGAAAATAGGTCATAGACCAAGCAATTACTGTGAAGAAAGTGAAAGAATATTTTGAAGTAAAAACACTTGAATTTTGACATTTTAAACTTGGAAAATGCACACCAGCAAAGACTCCAGCTGAAATACTGGACAAAATTACTAAGATAGTGAATTAAATTATTATGGAAATTACAACTTCATGACACAAAAGCAGGTGTAGCATTTCCTTTTCTTAAGATCTCATCATGGATTTCTTCTCAGCAAAACTTTGCTTTTGCATGTAAAAGCACACAGTGTTCCCGGAGTTAAAAATGTATAATGCTTCTCAATTTTACCTTTTCAGCTCTTGGCCTTTCTTCAAGGATTATTTACATTTTACCATGAAGGATATGAACTGGCTCAGGAGTTTGCACCATACAAGCAGCAACTGCAGTTCAATTTGCAAAATGTAAGGATGATTTGTATTTACATAATTTAACTTTTTAATTTGCTAACTTCGATTTAGGATATTAAAGTAGATTTATAGCACTTTATTGTAATTCTAAATCTTGCAATGTTTTAGTAAGCTGAAATCAAATTCATATACAGATAGGTAAAATTGTTTTTATAAGGCTAATGTTATTAAGATTCCTGACAACAACTTTGGATAGTAAATTTGTGATTTCCAAATCAAAACTTTGGGAGCAAGAACAAGAAAAACAGGACCACAGCCAAGCTTTTATTAGGAAACATAGCGGTCCAGATAGGTTTAAACTTGTATAAAGCTTTCTTGAGAATGAGGCCTGTCTTCTGGACTAATTGGAGGTACCAAAAATGCTCCAGCTGATATAGAATTGTACAGTTTGTCCTGCTGTCTGCTAACTTCCCGCTGTATATAAAGCAATCTTGGGAAGCCATTCTCTGGCTGTTTTCTATACCATTGCAGAGTAGGTGAGACCCTCCTCCATGGTGAGCAGCTCTCATGAGCATTAGTTTTCACCAGAAGAGAGAATCTCTTTTTTGTGTAGAAAGTTGCACTCAACTGAGCAGATGAATCTTTTTCTGTAAATTCATCTGGATTTGGTAGTCAGAGCCATACAGGATCCCATTTTGGGCACAAACTGCCCAAAGAATTTTATAACTATCAGAGATAACTAAAATGTGTTTAATCAACATACTTTTCCACTCATCATAACTGCTTTATACAAGTGTATACTTGTTTCAGTGTGTAATTCAGATAGTACACTTCCAAGGATATACAAATAAGTAGGTACAAAATATACTTACAAATAAATAAGTACACACTTTGCTTCTAAGGAAAGTTTAAACACTCTGCTTTTGAGGCAAAAAGTGAACTTCAACATGTCAGTACTGGAAAAACCCCACATATTTCCTGAAAAGTAACATCAAAGTCCAGAATTTCTTTTAAAGTTAAGTCCACTTCATTCTTTCAAGAAAAGACACATACCACAAATTTTTGTAGTTCCATCTTCCCTTTTGCATCTCTTGTTCCTATATATATATCCCATTTTAAATGCTGCTTGAGGAAATAAGGCTAAACTTCCTAGATGATTATTCTTTTCCTTTTGGATCAAAGTGCAAATGGTCTCTGTAGAGCATCCCAGTCACTTGTCCTTACCAATTTTGTGTTTTTCACATTGTTTGCTACTAAAATGCTTTCAGATAAAGACACAAGGGGTCAGTGTTGTTGCACAGCAGTTTCACTGAAAGAGTGAAAAATGTGCTTCAGTCCAGAGATTTACTTTACTTATTTTAATATGGCAAGGTCTGAGTGGAGCAGGAGCTCACAGCACAGATCAAAACTGGCATTGTAAGTAATCATATGTTTCCTCTACACTTGTCTACAGAGGCAAAATTATTAAAGGACTTTTTTCAATTTCAATGTTAATTAAGAAATATTTATATTTAATGTTTTCTAACTATTATATCAGCACAACTTGAAGTTGTAAATAGATTACAGAAGTAGAGGGAGATGTGAAGTTAGGTAGAAGGATGAATTTTTTATTTTTTTTTTAATTATATATCAGAAAACATACACATGAAGATACAGTGGGCATCAGTACATCACTGACTCCTGTTACACAGCAGTATAAATTCTGGCTCCAGATCTAGATCCACAGTTTCACACAGCCAGCTGTGTTCTCTACGTACTTGTCATTGAGAGTATCATCCAAAATCAGATTGAAGTGAAATAATTTATACGGGTAAAGACAAACAGAGGACAGGAAGAAGTGCATTCAGCCTCTCTGTAGCTGTCAAAAGTACTCCTCTCCATTGCATTGTGTATTCAGGTTTTGAAGAATAGTTTATCTGAACTGCTGTTGCTGTTCTTAAAAATGTTTTACAGGTTAGAGCAGGAGCAGTAACAGCTGTAGAAGAGTAGTAGCAGACCAGCAGCTCTTAACCGGTCACCATGTTCTAACATGACCTGTTGTCATTTTAACTGTCTCAGCTGGCCAGTGGCATACTTGGTGTGTCTGTTTGGCTTTGGTTTCTGTGATTTGATTCAAAGACCTGCTGCTTAAAAGTGGTAATTAAAAACTTAATAGATGGAGACAAGGTCTTAAAATGAGGACATTCCTTCAATGGCTTGTCCTTCTTGAAGGCCTCAAAATGACCTCTCTTAAATTTGATCTGAACTGATACTTCTTCTGAAGGGCATAATCAGAAAAGTACGGATTAGAATTTTACCTCCCTCTCTAATAACAGTGTTTGTCTTCAAAACCAAGATAGAGCATGTATACTTTTATACTATTGTGCAACTGCCTACACAAATGGCCCATGTAAAAGGGGAAGTACTCACTGGTGTATAAAGTCCTGAGAGTATCTTTCTGACTGCTGTGGATTTGAGTCCATAGATGACTCTATAGAAATGTTACAAAAATCTTTATTCTTTTTTTTGGCCTATAGGAGCAGAGTATTCAATATCTGATATTTAATCAATCAAAGCTCTGGCATCTCTCAGTAATTCTCTTCTGTTATCCCATGCTAGGTACATGGAGGGAAACCCTAGCCTCACTGAATTCACTAAGAGCAAGTAGCCATTTATATGCATAGAGATATAAGAAAATATAGAAACAACCCACCCTAATACCATAATTGTTTGCTTTGTTACATGCCTGGTTACACATGTGATATTAAAGACAGGCACACTTCTTCCATGCTTTTGGCCTAGTTCTGCCACTTGTGAGTGTTTCTTACCTCCCATTTTTTTTTATATTGAACTGTGGTGTTTGCCAAGTCAGAACTTGTTCATGGCAGCGCCAGTAACCTGACTATTCTAAGCAGCAGCACCTGTGGTATCACTGCAGATATGGATACACAGACAATTTATCTCTTCCATGTGTGTAGAAACTGCAGCTGTCTGGGCTCATTAACCTGGATGTAACCCAAACTAGTGTTTTCTGCACTGTACTTAAAGTGCTTTAGTGGGTCTTACTATTTCAGGTTTAGGGCTAAGCTGTTAGCAGCTTCTGGTTTAGCCAAATATCTGTCTGAGAATCCCAGAGAGTACAGAGAGAAAGCCTGTATCTGTCTGCAAAATACTGTGTAAGCATACTTGAAGATATGAGATGACCTCCTGTCTGAGATTAGTGACCTGCAGAAAGAGCAATGGTGCTATTCTCAGCTATGTTTTCCCTACATTTGTGTGCCTAAGTTGAATTCTTCATTACTAGGTTATTCCCAGGCTTCTAGCAGTGAAAAGTATCATTCTTTATTGCATTTTTTTTTCCTTTTCCTCCCTTTTATGTCTCTGGCAAATGCTTTTGTTGGTCTCCAATACAGTCTCCTTGGCATTACTTGTAATTAGTTGTTCATTGTTATTTTAGTACTTGCATGAGGTGATGTGGGGTTTTGTTTGTTTCCTTTCCTGGGTATTAGACTCGCAATAACTTCGAAAGCACTAGACAGGAAGTGGAGAGACTCATGCAGAGAATGAAATCAGCTAACCAAGATTACAGACCACCAAGTCAGTGGACAATGGAAGGCTATCTCTATGTGCAGGAGAAACGTAAGTACAGCCAGGAAGGTCTGTGCTGTTGTTTGCCCCAGTGGTTGACTGGTAGCAAGCTCAGCTCTGGCTGGCTGCCCTGCACCTTGCAAACTCCCAGCACCCTGCTTTGGCTCTCTTCTGTTTCCTGTACTTTCTCTGCCTGAACAGGACCTTTAGTTCAGCCATCAGGAGCACCTTGTACCAGAGACCTCCACTGACCCAGCCATCTTAAATGAACATGTGCTTAATGGAAATCAGAGATGTAAGAAAAGGTCATCTAAGTACCATCTTACCACAGTTAACCACAGCCAGTTTTATCCTCAGTAGTGCTGCAAGTTTTAAGAACACAGTCTATTTTTTAATTGATTAATCATCATAAAAGAAATCTGTGTTAAGTGGAAATTACACTGAGCCGTGCTAATGGGGGAGGGAGAAAAGGAGTGAAGTACCAGGCACATGCTGTGCTTCATTAAATAGTGAAAGGCCAGCTTGACATCTTACTGAAAAGAAATGTTTATTCTGGAGTAACAGGGTCTGTACTCACTGTGTAGTAGGAAAGGTACTAGTTGTATAATTCCTTATCATGCAAGTTTACTTGCCTACAGCCCTTATCCTATAGTTCCTTGTCTAATTGTGAGCAATTGGGTTAAATGTCTGCTCTCCTTGAGAGTAAATTTTGTATATATTTATTACTGATATGCATGGTGGTAAATATAGGTGTTTTTAAAAAATGGCATTAGGCCATAAATTGTCTTCTTGGATGGCCAAGAGTAACAAGTGTAAAGTTGCCACACAGGTGTCTGGTTAAATTTTCTAATGAAAATAGGTGACTTCTTAATTCATCTAAACTGCTTTGAGAGTGCTCATCCATCTTATAATGTGCTAAAAGAGATAATGAATTGCCATCAGAGGAAAAATTGATTCCAAATAATTACAGATTTTGTTATGCTACGTGAAAATAATTTAAAATATAGGAGCAGAACAGCTAACTTCTGAGGGTACATAACCAGTTGAATTTTTGATTCATGACTTTACTTTCTTCCAGAACACAAGCAATAGGAGAGCTTTCTCAGTCAGCGTAGCAGACCATATAAATTTCCACAGTTAGGTTTCTGGGTTGACAGACATCCAACTTACATGACTGATTCAGTCTCTCATATAACCACCACCTTTGTGGGTACATTGAGAAGGCAAAACCTGTGTATCTATAGTAAAACTACAAGGGTTTTTTTCAAACATTTTTATTTAATTCTTCACATTAACAAAGAAAAACACACACAAAAAAAAAAAAAACACAATTAAAATTCAAAATACCATTTTTTAAAGTCAAGGTTCTTTATTTTTGTCTTCGTTCTAGACAGGACAGAGTTAATTTTTGCAAGTAGCCAGGAGCTGGGCATGACTAGGTCCTTACTCAATACCACCTCATCATTTTTTCTGGGGGTAGGGGAAGGGATCGTTTCTGGGTCCCAAATGTGGCAGAGGGAGCGCTCAGGTATTGTCAGGTGTCCCTATATGGTGAATACTCACATGTGAATCATTTGCCTCTTGTGCACTCTACTGTTAATATTGTTGAAAACTCCTCAGGTCTGTTCTTGCCTTTTTCCTGCCTTGTTACTATAATAGAATGCTGTCACCCATCCAGTTGCCAAAGAAAGTCAGTCTGCTGAAACTTTATTGGGCAATATTATCAAGCTGCAATATTTGGAAATTATACTGGAACAACATGTTCAGATTAAAAAACAAGGAGTAGGCTGCATGTAGATGCTACTTTATTTCATTTTTCTACTCTAATTCCAAGTATAATAGTGGTAAAATGACAATTACTTTTGATACTATCTCTCTTTACTCTAGGACCCCTTGGATTTACATGGGTTAAACATTACTGCACTTACGACAAAGGAACAAAAACTTTTACAATGAGTATAGCTGAAACAAAATCTGGTGGAAAAGTGGTGAGTTGCTTGTACATGAACAAATACATGACCTGTATGTTCCATCTTTTTTATTAAGCATTAAGGAACTACTAAAAGAAAAAATGCAAAGAGATAAGGCTGTTTTCATAGATGAAACAGTGCATGTATCATATAGCATGGATAAATATTCAATTAATATTTCATTAGAAACATATTTAAATCACTTATTTAATAACTTCTCTAATGTGGTTGTTGTAAGTGCATATGAAATTTATCACATTTGCACAGAATCATTCAGTAGATTAGGTTTGGAAGGGGGCTCTGGAGATCTCTAATATAAACTCAATTCAGGGTCAACCAGAAGAGGTTGGTGAGGTCTGTGTCCAGCCAGGTTTTAGATATCTCCAAGGATGGAGCTGTCTATGAACAACCTGTTCCAGTGTTCAACCACCATAAAAAACTTTTTCTAAAGTTCAAATACAGATTACTTTTATTTGAGTTTGTGCCCGTCACCTCTCACCCTTCCACTGGGCACCACTGAGAAGAATCTGACTCAGCCTACTTTCCTTCCCATGAGGTATTTTTAGATTAGTCACTGATGTGATCCCTCTTCCCCAGACCAAACAGTCTCAGGTCTCTCAGCATCTCCTCATATGACAAATCACAGGATCTTTGAGGTTGGAGGAGACCTTCAAGATCATCTGTCCAACCATCAGTGTAGCATCACCACAATCACCCCTAAATCGTATCCCCATGTGCCACATCCAGGCTCTTCTTGTACACTTTCAGAGATGGTGACTCCACCTGGTTAATTATTTCAATGCCAAACCACTCTTCCAGTGAAAATTTTATTTTTAATATCTAACCTGGACCTCCCCTGGCACAACTTAAGGCTTCTCCCTCATGTTCTTTCACTGAAGACATGGTAGAAGAGACTGAGCCCCACCTCACAAAGCCTCCTTGCAGATAGTTGTGCTCCAAGTCCTTAATCACCTTGGTAGCCTTTAGCTGGACTTGTTCTAGCACATCTGCCTCTGTTTTACCAGGGAGCCCAGCACTGGGCATAGCATTCCAGGTGTCCCTCACCAGTGCTGGATGGAAGGTGAGGATCTCTTTCCTCCACTTGCAGGCAGTACCCTGCCTGATGCATCCCAGGAGGCTGGTGGCCTTCTTTGCAGCAATATCACATTCTGGCTCATGGTCACCTTGTTGCCCACCAGAACCTGAAATTCCTTTTCTACCAAGCTGCTCTCTATCCTGTCAGTCTCGTCCTGACCTGGTGCCTGGGCTAACTGCTATTCATGCTGAACAGAATTGACCTCATGAGCATACCACTAGTGCTTGGCTGCAGCTGGACTTCTGTTGTGAGTTCAGTAGTTCAGGCAGTGTTCAGCCCAGGATGTAGTGTTGAAAGCATGGCTGAAGTTGAGATAAACAATATTCATTGCTCTTCCATCATACAGTCAGCCATCCAACACACATTGTAGAGGGCTATCAGGTTGATCCTATGTGATTTTTCCTTTATTAAATTCATGCTGACTGCTTCCAGTCACCTTTCCGTTCTTAATATGTTTGGAAATGCTTTCCATGATTATTTACTTCATCACCTTCCCAGGGATAAAGGTGATGCAGACTAGCCTATAGTTCCCCGTAAGTTGTGAGGCCTCAGGTTGCATCAGGGGAGGTAGGTATTACAGAAAATTACTTCACCAAAAGGGTTGTCAAGCGTTGAAATTGTCTGCCAGGGAAGTAGCTGAGTCACCAACCCTGAAAATTTTTAAAAGATATGTAGATGATTTAGTTGTGACCTTCTCCAGCCTGAATGGTTCTATGATTCTAATCCTTCTCCTTGCTCATTTTGAAGACAGAAGTGACATTTGCTTCCTCTCATTCCTCAGAATCCCCAGTTGTGTCAGCCTTGCCAATATTATAGCAAGGTCTCACAATCATGGCCAGAGTTGAGAGTTAGTCAGCTTTATTCTTCAGAAATCTGTTTATCTGCATGTGAGAGTTGGCAGAACTATGTAATTTTCATCCTTACATGCATGTAATCAAGTTACATACACAGGTGTTTGTAAGATTTGAATTTAGGGAATTTTTTGAAATACAATGATTAAGTAACAAATATAAGACAGAAAGCTATTAAATGTAGTCTTAATATATCGAAAAATACTGTAAATATGCCTAAAGAATTTTAATCCCTATGTTAAGACATGTTCTTTGGACTGTTCATTCAGTTAAATTTAGGATGAAGCCAAGGTGTATAAGTGTATTGCCTGTGCTAATTCCATTTTGTTGTTTTATAGAACGGCCTTGTCACAAGCTCACCAGAAATGTTCAAGCTAAAATCTTGCATCAGGAGAAAGACAGATTCAATTGACAAACGTTTCTGTTTCGATATTGAAGTGTTTGAGAGGTTTGTTTCCATTTTGTTAACGATTTGAAAATAATTGCAACCAATAGATAATAGTTACTCCTGTAGTAGGAACACATGTTTACCAATATATTTGTAAACAGACAAACTAGGCTTTCAAGACTTAGTACTTCTTTTTTCAAACCCGGTTTTCTAATTAAATTCACTACACAGAATATGTGTTGTCTTCACTACATTATGTTTGCATGCAGATACAGCATGGATTCTTATGGAACTTGTAGCAAAACTGACTATCCTCTTTTAGAAACAGATCATAAATATTTTTATTAATATTTTATAAATACTTGTTAATAAGTATATTCTGTAAAAAACTATTACTTTCAGAAATGTATAGTAGTACTTTTTTTTTTCTTGAAAATTATGTCCACAATTTTTTTCCACTTACTCCTGGATATTATAATTATATCAGATACCTGAGAATAGATTTCCTGTATTTAAGATACAGGTATGCAGTATGTGTAGAAGTATTTTTTTCCAATCTTGGGAATAAAGAGAAATCTTGAATTAATTTTTGTGTTAAAATATGATAAATTGACTCAATTTTGTAGTAGTTCTCCTAAAAAATGTTTTATGGCTGTTAGCAAACTTTAAAAAAAAAGATGTATTTTATACCTAGCTCAAAATTATTTTGTTATATCAGAAGCTCTGATATAACTTCCTCTAACTTCTGTCTGTCTTTTCTATATTCACATCACTATATATGTGGATTCTGACTTTGGATACTGTTAGAGAAAAACAGTAACTTCAATGAATGTGTGTTTTTGACAGACCTGGAATCATCACACTACAAGCTTTTTCAGAATCCAACCGAAAACTTTGGCTTGAAGCTATGGATGGAAAGGAACCAGTAAGGATATTTTTTAATTTTCATTTTACAGTTTTCTAGATCACATATTACAGAAAGAAGCTAGTATACATTTCAGATACTCCGTCACAATACCAACAAATAGAGTTGTTTCCTTTGTGAAATACTAATGCAAGTACATAGTGAGGATAACTACAAAGCAGAAAAGTAGATCTATTAGTTTAAGCCTATATTTATATATATCATTATTTTATGTTAGGGTATTTAAATTAATACTATTTTAAGTAACACAATAGCATATTGTCTTATAGGGTTCATGGTTCAGATAATATATGTGAAATGGTTGTTATTACAGTGGTAAACAACATCCATCTTTTGGGCATTTTCATAGAGTAAACAATTAGTACCATCTCAAATGGCATTGCAGAGAGCAGAAACACATGTTGAAAGCTACTGAGGGACAGGCTTGTCTGAGTTTTCTTCCCACTATTTGTATGCTCTTAAAGTAGTCACTGAATGAGGCTGATGTCAGACCTGTATCTGATAGGAAAAGAGCGGCTGATCCATTTTATGAACTTCATGAGTGTTTTTACATGCTTCTTGTTGGCCTGAACGAGTACAGGAATTATAATCACAAGCTGGTTTGAAATCTAACTCATCTGGTCTCAGTAAATCTGATTTCCAATGTATTAGTTGCATTATGGTAGCACAGAGCTGTTAACCCAGCTGTGTACTGGAGCAGTAAATGTCAAGAGATCATGAAAGGCAAGCTTGGAATTTCCCTAGCAGCAATCTAGTACATAGCATGTTGCAACTCCTCACAAACCTGGCAATAAAGGATTTAAAGCACAAACATTATTCTATTGCATTGTTGTTGTTTGATTGGTTTTTGTTCATTTTTTTTTACAGATCTACACACTGCCAGCCATTATTAGCAAAAAGGAAGAAAGTAAGCTTTTTTGAGTTGTCATATCTTGCTAGATTTCTGTAATGTTACAGTTCCTTGATATGTGTGGGAGAAAGATTATTTTTTATTTTAGTTCTGTTGCTGTGGAGTAACTTTGTTGGTTATCTAAACTTTCCCTGGCACAACTGGAGGCCATTTCCTCTTGTCCTATTGCTTGTTACTTAAGAGAAGAGGCTGACCCCACCTGGCTGCACCCTCCTTTCAGATGGACATAGAGAGTGATGAGGCTCCTTTTCTCCAGGCTGAACACCCCCAGCTCCGTTGCCCTTCCCTGGACACGCTCCAGCCCCTCAATGTCTCTCTTGCACTGAGGGGCCCAGAACTGAGCACAGCATTGGAGCTGTGGTCTCAGCAGTGCTGGGTACAGGGGGACGGTCACTGCCCTGCTCCTGCTGGCCACACCTGGCTGATCCAGGCCAGGATGCCATCGGCCTTCTGGGCCACCTGGGCACACTCTGGATCGTGTTCAGCTGCTGTTTGCCAGCACTCCCAGTCCTTATCTTTTAGACATCTTTCCAGCCAGAACTGCCTGGGGTTGTTGTGACCCAAGCACAGGACCCAGCACTTGGCCTTGTTGGACCTCATACAACTTGCCTTGGTCCATCACATCTTTTTAGTTTAAGGTGTATATGCACCTATTAGACATACACTGAGTAACAAAATTAGTTTAAAGGTACTATGAGATTTGTGTGCATAATTGTATTAACACTGTATTAACACATTGGTTATTATTGTATGTTAACACAAATATATAAAACTAATTCAAACAATATATCTCAGAGAAATAGATTGGTAAAATTTGGACATACATCTTCATTGGAGGTATATTTGATACTCAGAAAATCTGAAATTTAAGCCACTATCTTATTTTTTATGATGTTGTTTATTTTAATGGTGACAAATATGCTGTTTTAAGATCAGATCATTATTTAGGTAGTTAGAGCAGTGGGTATTGAAGATGCAACATTAATGAGAAGTACATTCACTTGAAATAGGATGACTAATTAAACTCAGTAACAAGGATTGGTCTTCTACATTACCATTTTATGAGTGATTATGTGCATATGCAAGGAAGAAAGAACATTGTTATATTAAAAGCAATGAATCTGTTCATAATATAGGTCCTGGAGTCTTAAAAGCATTTTACTCAGCAGCTTTCAACTGTATCTTTAGAGAGGCTACTGATTGCTGAGAAAGACAGTAGAATATTGAGCTTCTAATGGTACAGAATGACTACAAAGATGGGTTGTGAATGCTATGGATGTATCTACAAAGAACATATTACTGAACAAGTCTTGTAATGGAAACCATGTATTAGCCCTCCTTGATTAGTGCAGGAGTGTAGCTAAACAGAATATTTTGTATATTGATGTTGGAGAGTAATTACCCTTTTTTTTTTTATAGTGTTCTTAAATGAAGCGGGTTTCAACTTTGTGAGGAAATGTATTCATGCTGTAGAAACAAGAGGTGTGTATTAAACCATAAATAATGTCTTAGATTGTTGTGACTTTTTCTAAAATCTGGCTTTTTTTAATTCTACATGTTTTACATCTGTACTTTGAAGTGTATCCATTATTTGGTTTGGATTTATCATATCTGGGTGCTTTGCCCTCCAAAGTGTTGTCTTCATTTCCAGCAACAGTTCTTAACATATTTGAGATTTTTAAACTTTTTCTGTAGTTTCTTGTTGATTAGACAGTTTAATACACAATTGCACACATCTTTAGTCTTTCCTTGTGTGCAGTGACTTGACTTTTCTTTTGATACAACTGTAGGGAGTCTCAGCTCCCAACCTGGTTTTCAGGTGTGAAATCAGAAGACCTAAAAGTGACGTTAACATTCTTTGCTGGTACATCTGGTTTTTTGTAGAGTATAACCCCTATAATTTTATTCAGTAATGTTGTACATTTTAACTTTTTTTTTATGTTTAGCAGCATTTAATGTTTAGCAACACTCTTTTTTTGTTAGTGGGAATGTAAAAAATGGAAGTAATAATCACTTTACCAATGAGGTGGTATCTAACAACTCACAGTAAGTTTTAAATGGAGAGTTATGGCTGTATCATCACCTATAAAATGAGATAGCCTTTTCTTGAGTTGTCCGTGTGCAGATCTCTTCTATCCAAATGTGATCTCTCTGTGCAACTTTAAGCTCAACTTGAATTCAGTTTCTCAGCCAGCAATGTTATCATTGTTAAGTCACTGCTGACTCAGAGCTTGCATTATTTTCTGGGCCAGGGAGGGTGAAAGAGGGTTTCAAAACAAAACACCTAGGTTATCTAAAATCAGATTTAGAAATATTGTTTTCAAAGGAAAAGTAGGCAATTTTAAAATGTTAAGGCTTGAAGTGGGGAGAATGGAAGACATTTAAACCCTGCTGATTTTAAAAGGCAGTTAAAAATAATAAAATAATCGTGACTGAGATAATCAAGTATGTCTTAAGCTGTGGATATTAGAAAAAAGTTTTTTACAGAAAGATTGATAAAGTGTTGAAATGGTCTGCCTGGGGAGATGGTGGAGTCACCATCCCTGGATGTGTTTAAAAGAAGATTGGATGTGGCACTCAGTGCCATGGTTTAGTTGAGGTTTTAGGGCATGAGTTGGACTCAATGATCTTTAAGGTGTCTTCCAGCCTAGTGATTCTATGTTCTAAATACTGTATTCTGAATATCACTCTTTAACATTATTTGTTATTATTAACTGTGCTGTGCTTAAAAACTGTGCTGTGCTTAAAAAAGGCCTGACAATTTTAACTGACAACATAAATTCTCAATTTGTATGTTAGAACAGTATACAGTATATATATTTTTTTCATATAAATGTCAATCACATCTTATTTGAAAGGATGGTGGTCTAAGCAAATACAGTTGCATAGTAATTCCACTGACATTTAGGCAATATAAACTTGTTCGTGTGCAATGTGTTTTTAGACTGCTTTTGGGTCTTGATTTTCACTTTTCCTAGCCATCACCTTATTGTTAATATGGGTCATTTCTATGCAGAAGGGTTCTGTTAATGTAAAATTATGCTTAGTGTATATTATGGTGTGGACTCAGTGGAATGAATTTGTTAATATCCCACAAGAGGTTGCAGTAGGGTAAAGCAGTGCTTAAGAATGTAATGGTACAGTTTTCCGTAAATACATTTAGATGTTTTGAAAACGTACACCAAGAATGCACTGGCATCTATTGAAATCACCATATTTTAATTTTTTAAATTTTTTCATCTTCTTGTTTTCCCAATGTAGGTATTACAATACTTGGACTGTACAGAATAGGTGGTGTAAATTCCAAGGTGCAAAAGCTAATGAATACCATATTTTGTAAGTATCTGAAGTGAACTTTTGTCATTGTGCAGTGTGTTTGCTGTGATTCCTTTTGCCTCAACTGCTGTGCTCAGAAGAGTGTGTCACAATATTCACAATTTTGTATGTGCACTGGCTGCCACTGAATTGAGTTTGGACTCTTAAAATGAGTAATTCATCTGTAGTTCCTTGTGTGTATTAGTATTCACTTCTGCATGTTACACATGAGTAAATTACGAATAAAAATGCTTTTCTTCTTCTGGCTTTAAAGTTCTATTTATTGATAGATATTTGGCTTGTTCCACAAGTTCTCCAAAGCTTTGTTTCATAACACATCATGGCTCACCTTAATAGGCACTTGTTCCAGTCTTTCACTTTTCTTGCTAATTTATCTCTCTGATGCTTGTGTTTGCATGTTTAAGACAACTGAATTAGTAATTCTCTGTGGACTTGGGCTTACTTAACACTTTGATATAGTGCATAGTTAATGTTTATGATTACTAACTATGAGCACTGAATTTACTTTTATTTATAATTTGGCAGAGATGAAGAGATTTAAATTGATCAGATTGGTGGTTAGTCTAGCTAATAAATAATTAGTTGAGCTAAATGGCTGATCTAGTAGCTTCTGTTTTGCTACCTTTCTAGTTAATGTGTAAGTGAAACTAACAAAATCCTAATTCAAATTCCTAACAGCCCCTAAATCACCTCCTGATATGGATATTGATATGGAAATTTGGGACAATAAAACAATAACAAGTGGACTAAAAAACTACCTCAGGTAAGTATGATGCCACACAGTTTCAGTATTCGTTTCTGGCCCATTAATCTTTGGCTTGTTAATATTTCTTGGATACATTTCTTATATCCATTGCCATGGTAATAAATGAGTATTTTATTATCCTGCTTATTATTTGTGTGATTATGTACAATAATACACACCTTCAACCTTTTTAAGATATCCTGCCTTATATAGCCTTAAATTCAATTGCATGTTTTTTATTTAAATTTTTTTATGTTAACCACAAAGCATGTTGTGCTCAGTCTTTTCTTTGTGAATCCCTTAAGCTGTGTACCATAAAATTTCATGACATTTTGGTTGAATGAAACTCCCAGCAAAAGCATAGTTTTTTTATCCTATGTTCTTAATATCTTCACAAATAAAATACCCTTCCTGTCATTTTTGCTGATAAGAGACAGAATATGGTGGGTGTACTATGCCTTCTACAAATCTATATTTCCTATAAAAGTCATCTCAGAAAGGGCGGCATCAGAAATCCCTATTAACCTGGAAAAACATGCCTAAGATTTGTAGCAGAATGGTCATGTACATTTCATTGAAAAGACTGGCTTTTGTTGAAGAAATTTATAATACATCTTCAGAAGCCCAAGTCATTGTTGCTACTGTATTTGTAAAACTTGGACATGAGTAAGCAAGCAGTAATTGTGTGTGTCTGTAAGGGAACTCACAGTCTGCCTTTCAAATGATGACTCTTTTAAGATCTCTCACATCAGAATTTCAGTCCCAAATTTCATCATATTTTTGCCTTTTCTTGGGCAAAAGGTTGCTTCTGTAGCCTGTTATACCTTGCTGCAGCTGTATTTATTCCTGTCCAACAATATGGAAGACAGGAAACATTGAGGCTCTGTGATGAAGTAACATTTTCCTTATTAACTTACATGGTGACACCAGATTCAATTCAAATTGATTTTCAGACAGTGTACATGACTGAGTTTTATACTACCTGTAATCCGTCATCACTGAATTGGATTTCCGAGGACCAATAGAGCATCATGCTTGAGATGCTGAGGGCTATCATAATCACACTCATAAAACTTAGATTATGAGTCTGTTTTAAATTTAAAATCTGGTTTTTTTCACAACCAGGTGTCTTTCAGAACCACTGATGACTTTCAAGCTGCACAAAGATTTCATTGTTGCTGTTAGTAAGTAAAAAGTAAAATGATAAATATGATTTCATGAAAGTAGTATTGTTTCTAACCCCTAATCTCCTCAGTCACTATCTTTACTTTTCTTCTTGCTCTAATATTCAGTGATCCAGCCCTCAAAACAGAGAAGTCACACTAGATGAAGCTGTTCAGTGGTTTGTTCTGATCTTTTTAGTGGTTCTGTGTGACTGCTTTCTGCATGAAGTTGTGAACCCTCATTTAGATATTTGTTTGTTTGTTTTATATAGGCTGATAATTATTCTGTAACATTCATCCCTCTCGTCTAGATACCTCTATTTTCCTAGCTTGCCTTGAGAAATTAGAAAGAGCAAAAGTGAACTCATTTTCAAAAATGGAGTAGTTGGATACAGGGATAGCAAAGATAATTTTTCTAATTACTTCAGTTTAGAATTTGAAGATATTTCTCCATTTTCTCTTGTCTTTAGAAGAATAAAAGACAAAAAATAGTTTTAGCTATTTTAATCTATATTTCTTAGATTAAATCTTAGGCTTCACTGAAATGGCACATCAAGTCAATATTGCCATTAATTTGTTGGTTCCAATATTGATAGTAATTGCTTTAGGCGAGTTCCTTGAAATACAGATTTCACAGTGTAATAAATATAATCAAATTTTCCTCAGCATTTGAAAGCTAATTTTGTTTGGCTTCTCTTAATGCATGTTTGTGTTAGCATACAGGCACTGATGCCATTTGTAGTCACTTCTTAGCACATGTTATGATTTATCAAAATTCTGTTTTCTGTTTAATAGAGTCAGATGATCAGAACTACAGAGTTGAGGCAGTTCATGCACTTGTGCATAAATTACCAGAGAAGAACAGAGAGATGCTGGACATCCTTATTAAGCACTTGGTCAAGTAATTATTTTTTATTTTTCTCTTTGATATTATTGTAAGATGTTATCATTTCTGCTTTAAATTTGTCAGTGTTGCTTAATCCGTTCTCTGTGTTGAAACAATGACACTCAAAATTACATTTGATTTCTAAAATGCTTTCTCAACTTAACTGGAATAATACTCTCTGTAGAAACAGAATAAAAACATTAAGTGTTACCAAGATTGCAAACTGTGCTTATGAAATAAACCTAGTCAATGTTTTCATTCATGCTTTCACTACAGGGCCTATAACCAATTAAATAGAAGAAACATATAACACTATGCTGAGGTTGACGGAAAACTGGTTTGAATCTGTCTCAAAGTCCCAGAGTATTTTAGAAATGAGATAGCTTAGCAAGGAGATAGAATGAGATAGATGATATGATAATTCCTGTTCTTCATGTTTGATCTTATTTTTCTCTCTAGCAAGTCTGAAGTGTAGTATCACTTGAAAGCACTAGTTTGAAGTATTTTCATTTATATTTTTGATATCTACATAGATGTCCAACTTTTCAATCGCCATTAATATTCCCTTCATTTTTAATTGTCAGATAGAAAACATTTTGCATTTATTTAAATTGGTGACCTTTTGTTTTCACAGAATTACACTTGTCATGTACTGTGAGATAAAAAAAAAGACGAGTATTTATTCTCTTAAGTTTCTGTACATCTTTGGTTAGTTTTTGCTGGTATTTGTTCAGTACTTTTGCATATGTATTATTCTTTCTGATTTAGGATGCTGTATCAGTACATTTATGAGTCATCTGGGAATGTGAATAGTGAAACAGTAGTTGTTCAGATAAGGCTCACATGACTCAGACATTTAGAAGACATGAGAAGAGTCCATGTTGTGTTCATTCCATTCACTACAAGCCAGGTGTTTTGCTTTTTTGATCACAGCTTGAGCTACAGGCTGCAGTAAGCTACAGGCTGTCTACAGTGGAACCTAATGCAGTTTTGCTTCCTGCTATAGAAAAGAGAACTTTGAACATTTCTTTGACAGGAAATCATTTAGCCCTAAAAAAATTGTTTTAGCCCATTATGTCCTTAGCCCCTGGAGAACTAGCATTATAGCAAGCTGCTGTAAATGCATTCATTGCAAAACCTGATTATGCAGACCTTGCCTCTCCTTATACTTGGGCTGACATAGAGAGCCAGATTGGAAAAAAGTTTCGTAAGTTTCTTTACTCACAGAATTGTTTAATTAACTAAAAAATACAGTATCTACTCCCTCAGAACCCTCAAAAATGTGAAAGTATTTAATGAAAGATTAACAATTTCGTAAAAGCTGCTGGTCTGGAAGCTTCAAAATTAGAGGAATATATAATAATAGGAACAGACTTATTTGTCAGTGCAATTACTGTTAGGCAAGGATTACTTTCTTCTTTTCATTGCTTTTCTCTTTATTCTTAGTGTGACCTCAGATGCAATTCCAAAGAAAAGCATACCTGTAGTATTCCCTTATTTAATTGCTCTCTTTAACTTTCACTTTTCTCATCTTTGTTGAGATTCTTATTTCATAGAGATGTAATCTTAAGTTTACACTGAATGCCTTCAGTACTTTTCTTTCCAACATAAAATTCACCCCTTCTAATTTCCATATAATTTGCCAACTGTTGTTTATGCTAGCAATTCTAATGAGACTGAATTTAAAATTAGTCTCTTGAGTGTATTAGCCATCTTTTTCCTACCACTGTGTGGAAATTTTTCAAAGAATGGATAAATGGCAGGTAAAGTGCCTAATTTTATGGAAATGGGAAAACTTGGGGAAAAAATCCAACCTCCTGTTTTCATCATTCTTTTGTTGAAAATCCAATTTCAAAGTGCATAATTACTTTCCTATATTTCTTTTAGCTGTTCAGTTCCTTTATAAATGCTTTTGCAGCAAAGTTAAAATACTGTAGCTCTGAGTTATAAAATAAGGATAATGTTATTTTTTTCTTGGTTTAAGTGTTTACATCTTTGCCTAGCTTGACTTTGTGTTACCATGCAAATTTAAATAGGATCAGATGTGGGATGTAGATCATACTAGAAACAAACAAGCAAAACTGGCAAAAAAGCACCTAAGCATCCTAAAAAGCACCCTGGAGAATCATGATACTGCATGGATACATAGTCAGTAGCTAGGCAAACATGGCAAGTTTGGGGTTACTTTCACATGGGTAGCTCATTTTTTGGTTTTTAAACCTATCTAGTCAAATTATGTCTACTGTAAAGAATGAATCATTCTTTGGTATGATTTAACAACATAATGCTTTTCTGTGGGAGGCAGCTGGGAGTCGGCAGTCTGGCAGTATCACAGATTTGCTGGTGATACATCAAATGAAGAGATTCTGAGGAGAAAGCAATGGCATTTCCATGAATGCCCTTCAGCTACCTGAAATGCATGATTACCTCAGCTTGTGTCTGTGCTGTAGCTCAGCACCAGTAGGTGTGGGTCAGGGAAAAGTGGCTATCAAAATGATCCATTTACAGCCCTGGGTTCTTTCTCTTTTGCAAGAAATTGAGCCTTTGAAATGCGTTGTAGAAAGCCCTTTCGTGCTGCAGTGTTATTGAATTCGCCATTTCTTTTATTAACCAAGCTCCCAAATTTGTAACCAAGGAAACCCAAACACCAGACAAACACTACCTTCTCTCTTATGCTATAAGATTGTAGTATTTGTGTAACAGGCCTCTACAGTTACTGTGCAGCACACAGCAGAGTAACATTGCAAAGGGAGGGTTTCTTAAAGTTTTTTTATAGCATATCTAGAGCTGAGTTATTCAGCATTCCAGTTTCATTAAAATACTAGTGGACTTCCCAGAAGATCCTTAGTCATCTAAGATAAACCTAAGATCTGTTTCAGAGAAAGTTAGATTAAGCTAAAATGTGCTTTAACAGTGGAATCATTTTCATGATATGGCTTCCAAATAATAATCTCTTCCAGTGTGTTTGTCTGAGGTAACATTTTGGAAAGTTTTGAGATAACTTATTGAAGCAATATAAGAAATATGTAAGAATATATGCATTTGTTTTCCTGCAGTTTATAATCGTGCTGCATCCTATACAAAACCCTTTCACATATTTCTCCTACTTCTTGATGTAAATGGGTTGCTAAAATCTTCCTGCCCCAAATTGAAGGGAATGTTTTACAGATTTTACTATTTCTTAATTTTAAAAGTTGAAAGAGTTATTTTAATTGTGTAGGAAATGGCTAAAAATGCTCAGCTTGATGATAGTAGCAGATGGCAGTGAGAAGGAAGAGGAAAATGGGACCCAGTGCCTCATTAATAAGTTCCATTTGGTAACAGATTCAATAAGATTAGGCATTAAAAGTGATTTTAAAATCCTGACTTGGCATAATATTCCTCAGAAATGAGGCAATAGGGCAGCTGTGACTGGGGAATCACTGGCAGTTTTTTCAAAGGATCTATGATGATACAGTTTTTAATTGGCAAATCTTAGTAGTGAGTAGAGAAATGGGGCATTGAATATTACTAATTGAGATTTAACTATGTGATAAATTATTGGGAAAACTAAGCTTTTAAATTCTACATTAAAAAGAAAAAAAAAACTGAAAAGGTAAAGTCTATGATAACAGAATATACAGAAGTTCAAGGTTAATATATTTTAAAGCCAGATGTCATTATGATCATCTAATGTTATCTATCACACAGAAACAATAATTTCACTTAATACATTGATTCTGTGTCTTCATCAAATTGATAAAGAGATCCTATTGCAAATAAGGTGTTTTCAGTAACTAAGCTTCATTCCTTTACATGAACACTAACGTATATGATAGATCTCTGTTACCACACAGCACCAGTTGAAAGTATGTGAGGACCTATATAATCATTGGAGAGAGATAGTGCTTGCCCTAAGACTTCTAAACTGTAGATTTTCTCAATCTCTCTGTGTAGAACTCCAAATACAGTTGCCTCTCCCTGTCAGGTGTATCAGGAATTGAAATACTACTCTAGGAGGGCATACTCATTATCCATTAAATTATTGAATGATAGGAGCCTTAATGGAAACATAGTAGTTGTACTACATTGTATTTTGATTCTAGTGTAAGTGGATGTTTTAAAAATGTATTTTAAAGAGAGACATGAACTTGGAATCTTGTAAAAATAGTAGTCTTAGCAAGTTTTTGCCTGTTAAAATTGTAGTTTAGCACACTAATTAAATCACATACTATTTGTGTTCATTTAAAGGGTATCATTGCACAGTCAGCAAAATCTAATGACTGTATCCAACCTTGGTGTTATCTTTGGACCAACTCTGATGAGAGCACAAGAAGAAACCGTGGCTGCTATGATGAACATTAAGTTTCAGAATATCGTCGTTGAAATTCTGATAGAACATTATGAAAAGGTAGAAAGAAATCATCTGTTTTGTTATGGAGTAGAACTAAGTTCTCATTTTCATTGCCATCATTAAGTCTTTAAGAATAGAGTCCAAAATGTGTAGAAGGTCATTAATAGAAATAATAGCTTCTTCCCACTCCATGCTATGAATCTATATTCCTAGCAAGTGTTTCATGGCTGTGCAAGGTACAGATCCAAGGCATAATTTTCCATGCTTTGAAGGCATTGCTCTGAATCTTCAGTTGCTTTCTGAAGATTGCTTCCTGAGTCTAGGAACAGAAGGTCATAACTTTGCTCCTGGCTGTTCCAGCTCTTTCTTGCTACCGTTGTATGAAGGTTCACTCTGGGTGAATGCAGGGATTCCTCTCTGAGTGCATCAGGTCAGGGTGTTTCTGGCCATTGCTGTCTTTAGGGGACATGTCAGCTGTATAGTGATGATTAGTCACTATAAGGGTTGAGAAGGACTTGAGCAGGAAATCTTACACACTTTCTTTCAGTCACTACCATTGCTGGTATCAGCTTCACTGAAAGCTCCCCAGATTTTTTAATTTTAAACTATTGGATTTCAGAATTCAGCCGAACATTCAAGACCTCCTTTACTTAGTACTCAAAAGGAATTTTATTCTGGGGATCTTAGTTGAGCTATGTCATCTCCTCTGATGACTGACAAAACAAAGTGAAAAAAATTTTAATTTCTTTCATCACATACTAATCAGCTAAGGGGCAGTTCCCAGTCAATACCAGGATCCCCTGGTTGATCAATAGGTGCTGACAGTACAGCTTGGTATCATATTTCATAGGGACTCCTCAAAATGGCTATGAACCTGATAGACTTCTTGGCTCTGATTGCAAAACATATATATTGCATTTTTCCAATACTGAATTTCTTCTCCAGAAAATCAGAGTTCATTCATCACAAAGACTATGACTGCACAACCAAAGCCACTTCTGCTCTATTTCACTGTCTACAGAAATGTTTTTATATTGATGTGCTACTCACTAGTGCTTACTACAGTTTTAATGTACTCCGAGAGCATCTCAAGATGTCCATCCAAGTATTTCCTACTATAGAAGTATATTTGCTTTCTTCCACTTCTATGAATGGCACAAAGGTGTCTTTTCATGGTTTGCTTCATCTTCTTTTGGGAATGCCCTATAGCTAGAGGACCCAGAAATCCTTTCAGAGATGCCTTCTGGCATAGCATGGTAAAAAATTGAGTTTTTTCTGCAGCAATGAAGTGCAGAATTGACCAGTGGCAGCACTGGTATGGAAGAGATAAGAAGCAGGAGATGCCTTAAACGTAAAGTTGTTCCTCATTAAACTTGACTTGTTTGGTCAAATAAAGCTTTCTGAAATCCAAATTTGATTGTAATAAGTTACAACTGTGACATATTTCTGTGATGTATAAAAACTTTCTCTGGAACACAGAGCAAAAAAAAAATCAACTGTGTCATAATATTTAAAAAATATGTTACTTCTTGGATAAGAGTCATTAGTAGGCACCTATTTTGTTTTACAATTTTAACTGTTAAGCCCTTCTTAACAAGAGATAGAAAATAAATCTATTTCAACAAATTAATATAAATATTAAGTACAGCTCAGTATTGTGGTTCTTGAGTTGTAAAATGAGATCAAAGCAAAGCTTATATTCTGTGCCTTTACTCTTTTGTAATGTATGAGACTATGTTAGTGTTAATTTCAAGCATAGTGGGGAGGAAAACAAATGGATTAATACTGAAAGTGTAAGAGTATCTCTGTTGTTTAATGTCATTTTTTCTCTTTTTCTAATCATGCAGATATTTCACACGGCACCAGACCCCAATATTCCTCTTCCCCAGCCTCAGTCCCGATCGAGTTCAAGAAGAACAAGAGCAATTTGTCTCTCCACAGGCTCACGTAAACCCAAAGGAAGGTACACACCATGTCTAGCAGATCCTGACAGTAAGTTTGTCATTCCATACTGGTTATCTTGCTTTTTATGTGATCTTTTAACTTTGCCTGAATAATATCCTATAGATACTGTATTCCAATTATCATCAGCTTTTTAACCTCTGTGAGTCACAGCAGCACTCTTGACTGGCTGCATTCCTCACTTCTGAGTGAGGAAAGATGTTTGGTTATAGGCAAGTCTTATGTTGCATTCTGTGTTCAATTTAAACATTATATCCTCCTATAACAAATGTAATTCAGTAAAGGATAGGAGATCAAAACCATCACTTGGCTTTTTTCACATGCATGAAACTGTGGTCGTTCCTTCAAAGTCACCCACTGCCTCAGCTGCCAAAACCACTGAAACTTTCTTAGGTTTTCTGGAATGGAAACCAACTCTAATATTCCTGGGAGAAGCAGTATACTCATCATATGGCTTACTGTTTAACAGCAGGGAGTTTTATCTATAATCCACTGCTTGTTTAGAATACTTACTTAATTTTTTATAGATGTAATTAAAAATTTTTACTTCATTCATTCTCATCCATTTGGGTCACCAATTTTTTACTTACTGGCTGGACTTTTAAGGAGTATTGAAACTTTATAAAAGCTTAAGTCACTACTGCAACAGACTTCCTAAAGAATTTCTGTGTCCCTTGGTTCCTCAAAAAGATTTAGATGAGACTGGATCAGCAAGTTAATCCACAGCTAAAGTGCATCTGTTCTTGAGCATCTGTAGTAATTCTGAAGTCCGTAATGTTTAGAAATCTATCCTCAGTATATTCTTGCACAGCTGCTGCACTTTCCATAGGCCTATGTTACTTGTTTCCAGCCAGGCAGAGTTTAAATACTAAATAACGATAGCTCCATGCACATGGATTGCCAGTGTGAATGACATGGAGTCCCAAGTAAGAAGTTACAAAGGAGAAGTCAGTTACACTCACAAGAGGATAAACTGGGCAAGTTTCAGGTGTTTTTCACTGTGTGGCTGCAATGAATGAATATCAGTTTAAAAACGGGATATTTCTATGCAAGTATTTCACATAGTGCGTACAAGCTTCTTCAGGCTATGCCAGGAAAGATTCAGGTTGGACATCAGGAAGAATTTCCTCGCTGAAGGGCTTGTCAAGCATTGAAATGGACTTATCGGGGAAGTGGTGGAGTCTCCACCCCTCAAAATATTCAAGAAATGACATGACATTTAGTACCATGCTTCAGTTGATGTTGGGGTGTTCAGTGAAAGGTTAGATTCAATGATCTTGGGGGTCTTTTGCAACCCAAATGATTGTATGACTTCTGTGATGCTATGTTTGGTGGCAGTTTGATTGCCACTAGTTCTGATCCAGCAGCTCTCCATTAGTGTTTTGCTTATTAGCTGAAACTCAGCACTTGTGTAAACAAGTTCCAATTAGTATCTCACTTGTGCCCTGAAACACTGAGGTAGAAGCAGAAGTACTCTTCTTACCAAATATCTCTCAGTGTGGCAGGTATGAGGGAGCCAAGGCTTCTGGCAATAACATTTTCAGAGTACAAGATGGTTTTAAGTCATCATTTAAATGAAGCATGGACACAATTATATTGCAGGAAATAAAGGAAATCTGTATGGGGTGAGAAAAGAGCTGCAAGTTTCATATGGTAGGGAATGATAAAAAATTACAGAAAATGCATCTGACAAAAAATACATTAGCCAATCTTGTGACTTTCAAGGGACTAATGCTCCGTAAATGGGCAAGATGAGTATTCAAGTCGTAAATAAAAAAAAAGAGTTGTGTTCTTCGTGCAGGAAACCACAAATTAATGAATTTGATAACAAGGTACAAAAGAGCTAAAAGTGGCATGAAAGAAATGTACATGATTAGAAAATGCAGATTTTTCACTCTCTCTTCCTTCCCCTGCCTCCTCCCAAGGTGACTCGTACAGCAGTAGCCCTGACAGCACTCCCATGGGCAGCATCGAATCTCTGTCTTCTCACTCCTCCGAGCAGAACAGCACCACCAAGTGCACGCCCTCACAGCCAAGGGAGAAATCAGGAGGGATTCCATGGATTGCCTCTCCCTCTTCTTCTAATGGCCAGAAAAGTTCAGGCCTGTGGACTACAAGTCCAGAGTCCTCATCAAAGGAGGATGCAACCAAAACAGATGTGGAATCAGACTGCCAAAGTGTAGCTTCTGTCACTGGACCAGAAAATGCCTCTCCACCAACAGATCTGACCAAAAAGAGTTCCTACAGTCTGTCTGGGCTGAAAAGGTCTTCAGCATCTTCCCTTAGATCAATTCCATCAGCTGAAGGTACTTTTCAAGGTCTTTTATCACATCAGTGTTATCTTATGTGTCAGAAAACAAGAGCTGGATCTGAAAGCTAATGATACGCATTAGTCTTGTTTGTTTGCTTGTTTTTAATTTTTGTGGTATGTTGTTTCAGTTTTCAAACTGCTTCTGACATATTTCCATTGCTTATAACCTGCACAGTTCACACAGCTTAAAAAAAATGTTTTTCAATTTTAGATCACTTTCTATCCTCCTACAATTCATCTATAATTTGATATAGAATAATACTATAGATTATAAATATCAATATTAGAGGTATTGTGCTTGTATTTTTGGATCTCTGTATTATGACAGTGTGTAAAGCATTATTAAGCATTGGTTGGTCTTTGGCATAAGGAGAGAAGCAGATGCTGTTTTCATCTTGCAGAACATCCATGGAAACAAGGTCCCTGGAAGAACACATGTGGACATGGCTTATATTCATTAAAAGGACATCTTTTGTGTGCTATACAGTCTATAAACATATAGATTTCCTTTATCAAGTTGCAGTGGCAATTGTTTAAGGCAAATCATGATCATTTACTCCTAAGTATATTTCTTAAACTGCATGAAGCTTTTGTGGATATCGAAGTGTTAATTCATACAAATTATTGTGGTCTGATTTCCCACTGCTTTGATCAGTTGACTTTCTGAGAACCATTTCTGAGAACCTGTGAATTTTTTTCAATTTTATGCAAAATACTACTTTATAAATGCTTTTATTGTCACTTTTTAGTCATTGTACTATCTAGCCATGTAATTGCAATGTAATTTTTTAGCCTTCTCAATTTTAGTGTCATTTCCTCATTCTTTCTGTTGAGTCTATTCTCCTGGCTTTTCACCTGAAAGATGGTTTTTCTCGCTCTTAGTAAGTAGTTTCTCTTCCTGTTTTGACTCCTAAAAAAAAGAAAAAAAAACCTCAACAACAACAGCACGACCTTTGCTTTGCACAATTATACATGTTTTGTAACAAATTCAAATCAGCTTTAATGTTCCCTATAATTTGATGTTTTCTTTAGGTAACAAAAGCTGCAGCGGATCTATACAGAGCTTATCTTCAACAGATACCAAAGATACACTAAAGGCTCCACCAAACCCTGATTTGCCTCCCAAAATGTGCAGGAGATTAAGATTAGATACTGCATCCAGTAATGGCTATCAAAGACCGGGATCTGTGTAAGTCATTAAGGCCCTTTGGAGATTTGTGTTGTTACAGTATTGTGTATTAGAAAGTGATTCCAGAAACATTCATAAGTAATTGAAAAAGTATGCATGAATACTTGATTTTAATATTTCTGTATTTGTTATTTATTTATCTAGTTTTGTTAAAATTGTAAACAAAGGAGATGGCACAAAGTCTGTTTAAGTCAGTGGAAAGACTACCATTGACTTTATTAGACTGGAGACAAGGTAGAAATGTTTCCTAGGAAAATGATTAGTATTACTATCTCTGGTTCTTCTGGAATTTAAGATTTCAGAAAATAGCAGAAATGCTATTTACTGTCTGTGCTGTTATCTCAGAAAAACCATCAGATTTTATTTGTGGAAGTCCAAAATTGGAGGAAGGAAAAAGAAAAGAAAACAAACCTTCAGCTCTGAAGTGTCTTCATTTACTGCATGATAAATAGTTGATTTTTAACAGCTGGAGTTTGGTTTGGTTTAGTTTTATTTCTTCAATGCTGAAAGGGAGATAGTTCTAAGCAATAGAGATTGTGATTTAGCCTATTGAGATTTGGGTTAATAATGTTTCTCAGTGCTTTCAGAACATTGAAAAGTATGATCTCTCCTGATCTGACTTTGACCCAGAATATCTCTGTCTCAATGAACAAGTATTTCCAGATCTGCAGAGCATCAAGAAGTTTTTCAAATACTGCAGGATATCATTCAGCCTCTCCACTTTGTATCTGGAAGGGATCACCATAGTCATTTCACAGACTCCTGTGTCTTACTTAAACAGAGAATTCTGCACAGCTCAGAGTTCCAGCATGATAGTGGTAGACTTTCAGTAAAAGCAATTCCAATATATCTGTTGGCCATCCATGAATACAGTTTTAAACACAAGAGGTTGAGGTTTCCATTGGTAACTCAGCATGGCACTGGAGCATGTGGAAGTCTGTTGCCCCAGTTAGGTTACACCCTTAAATGTCTGGTAAATAGGTATGTAAATGAATAATTAAAAAGAAAGAAAATTCAAATGTGTCCATGTCTTTAAATGATTAGAAGTGAAACTAGTGTGTGCAGTGTAAAGCAAGGCTTTGCATTTATTTTCAGAGTGGCTGCAAGAGCGCAGTTGTTCGAAAGTGCTGGTTCACTTAAACAAGTCTCTTCAGGACGGTAAGTGCTACAAACTGTTTGACATCCTGTAAACTCCTTTCTGTTTTGCTGGCCTCAGGGATTGAAAAGAAGTGTTGGAGCTTTGTTCTGTGTCTTTTGGACAGTATCCAGTGGCATGTGAAAATTTTTTGGTTTACTAAGCTCATCCTTTCTTCAAAAGAAAGCTAAATTTCACAGATAATAGCAGCCAGTCTGGTTATTCTCTCACCTGGGGGAATAGTGAGAGAGGCTCAGGTCAGCTGTCTGCTTAAGGACACAGATACAAGAGAAAATTACCAGTATTTAAATTAGGATGAGGGTGCTGTATTTTCTCCACACAGCTGTTTGTATGGAACAGCTTCAGCAGAGTAGCAAACCTGCTGGTTTATGGTAATTTGCTCATATAGGCAGGTCTGGAATAACATCTACTTTAGAAAGTTCAAGATTAACTTGATCAGGATTTCTGTCTTTACCATCACACCTTCCATGCCTCAGTGTCTGTCTGGAGAAACTGTTGACCTTTCTTCTTGGTAGTGTGCAGCAGAAAGTATTGGCATTTTCTTCACAATTGTTTGCATTTACTTCATTAATTTGATTCATTTTTATATTAAATTAATTTAGAATTTTCTAGTAAGTGTTTGTCTAGGAAGCAGTATCTTCTGTACATTACTACTTTCCTTACAATTAATAGACAAAGCAGCTAAGTAAATAGTTGTATGAAAACATGTCTCTCTTCTCACTCTCCCAACTTTTAAAATTCTTTGAGACAGAACAGAGATTTAGAGCAGATCACTGCTTTACTCACTGATAAACCCATAACTGTTTATTAACCATAATCAGAACTGTTGACCCATGAAAAAAAGATGTCAATCCATGAATCCAGAAGTAGTAGCCTAAAGGAGCACAGATGTAAAGGAAGATGCCAACATGCTGAAAAATGTGTGGCCATGGAATGTGTCTGTCCTCTCTGGCAGATCTAGCAGGAGGGGGAAAGAAAAAGCTCTCTTGCAAAGGCTACTGATTTTGTGAGAGAAGCAGCTTTCAGGAATCAAGGCTCTTGTTTTGTGTAGTACCATGAACTGTAAGATGAACAAAAAGGAGGGTGGCAGGAGAGGAAAGGGGTGTGAAAAGATCAGGGCAATAATTTAAGGGAAAAAAGTATAAAAGAAGAATGTTCTTAAGCCAGTGCCCTAAGTTCAAAGCAATGACTGCTTCACCAGTCCTTCCTCATTTCATCTTCAACACTGTTCCTTTTCTTATTTTGTATTACTTCCTTCTTTCAAACTCTCTCCTGTTGTTCCTTCAGAGCCTATGCCATCTGTATATAAAAAGCATGTAAGAAGTAAAAATCTGACAAAGGAAAAAGTAGCAGTTTGATAATGGATGTGGAGAGGAGATAACAAAGCTGAAAACATTGAAAGGCTGAATAGCTCCTCTACTTCAGCCTTCATAAGAAGGTAGAAGAGCAACAGGAGCAAGGAAAATGGAAAATGGGAGGTCAGCAGGCAGAATGAGGAAGAAATCAGTAACAGCTCAGCTGTTCTTATAGTGCTGCTTAAGTCAGAGTATGATTTTTAAATTTGGAACCAGCTGTTATTTAGCTGCATTTTATGAACATGAAGGCTGATTTAAAACTGTAGATTAGACTTTGTTGTTTTGGGGGTTTTTTTGGCTCTGAAGTAGATAGGAATCATGGTAATTACAACTTGATCATGCAGAAGAAATACCTCCTGTGTTCATAACTCTGCTAACCAATGAATGTATGCAGGACTGAGTGTAAGGCAGAAAAACTATTTTTAAGCTGCCTGTTTTGATACCAGAAATACTCAAGTCAAGAGTCTTGGACTCTCTGCATGGGTAATTTACCCTGCTAAGATAAATTTCAAGCTACTGCTTACCTCTGCATTATAGAATGTAAGTAACTTCATCCCTGCTTGAGGCACCTGTTGCCTGCTGTGGTCTTTTGCACAGATGGCAGATCAAAAATACCTGTATGGTTTTGCAGTCTCACATTGTTTTCTGTATTGCAGCAGGTAATGCTGCACTTGAGATTTTACTGCCACAGTGGTCTGGTCCTACTTAGTTTCTTCTTATATTCAGTGTTTGCACCCCTGCTTTCTCACTTTGTATGATGCAACAGGTCTCTAATGAGTTGTATGTCCTCTTTTTTAATGCATTATTTGACCTGTTTTCTCTCCTTGTATACATGAGTATATGCTCCTGTAACCCTAAGGGGCTTTTCTAGTCAGAAAGACAACAAAGAGACCACAGTATGTGTGTTAGGATTGAACAAGGAAGACCAAAATTTGATGCCCTGCCCAGCCTCTGCTCTCTTTTTCCAATTACAGAGTTACTTTGACTTCTGTCTTCCTATTTCCTGATTTGAAGTTTATTATTCATCAGTCTCCCTTACTGTAGTATTAAGCTACTGCGTGAGACCAGTCTCTGTCACTAGTCTAGCATGCACTTGAAAAGGGTGAAGGAGCTTTTTTTCCTATTTTCACAAATGCTGCAGTTAGATAAGTCAGTCAGGCCTGAGGTCTGTTTATTTCAGCTTCTGTACAGAAATGCACCAACACATAATCCCTGACTCTACATATTCTTGACTTTGATTTAGACGTACACAGAAAGTTTAAGTCTCCTGAAGTGAGAAACTGCATTAGAAGAAGAATTTTCATTAGAAAAATGGGAAGGAGTAGGTGACAGCAAAAGGCTCAGCCTTTCAGCAGGATCTCTAGGTGCCAGGCTGGGACTTCAATAGGAGCAGACTGATGTTTTGAAGCCCTCTAGACCCAGGCTCCCTTCCCAAATATATGATTAATTATTCTTTTCCAGTCATTTTTCTTTTTTTTATTTCCATGCTATATTTTGCATCCCAAACCACCTGGAATGTCTTGCTCAGACCAGACCAGTACGTTTTACACAGGCTTGGTTTTGAGTCTTCTATCTCCAGGGCTCTATAAACCTTTCTTCTTCCTGTAGGATAATATTAACTGGTGAATCATCCTAGAGAGATTCATATGTTTTTCCTCATTCATTCCTCTTCTGGCTTTGTCTTGCTAGACTGAAAAGTCATTAGGGCAGGAGCATACTTTTAAAGTTTGTTTATCTTTCAAAACAGTTATTATTTCTATTATTATTATTATTAGAGCCTTAGGTATTGTTGACTGTGTGTAGTCAAGCAAAAGAATTTATGATCTGATGTGACTGCTAGTATATTTATCATTATGGGCTTAAAACAACCATAATAGGAAGTAAGGAAATGGAAAATGCATTTTTCTCATCTGGAATCTAACCAATAAGGTCATGGAAAGAAGGAATTTCTAGGAAATGTGGATAACATTTTCTGAAGATTCTGGTTTTTTCCTCTGCCCTAAACAACATGAACCACACTCCTCTCAGGTTGTTAGCATCATCTTAAAAGAACTGTAATAGATGATGGTGATGTTATCACGTGCTTTTTAACAGCCTTGTTTCTAGGGAGAACACCATTAACACCATCAGTAACAACGTCCATTTTTGTAATCACAAACAAAATGCCCAAGAACCTGCAAGCTCATTTCATGAGCAGTGCCTCCAGATGGATAGGGTTGAAGTGAGTAATAACAAATATGAGAACCTAAATAATAAAATCAAGTGTGGAAGCAATAACCAGGTGCTTGAAAATTGCTCCAGAATTATGAGTAAATATTCTTAAATCTGTCTCTCATTATACCATCACAGATGATTTGTAGATAACTTAGGAGTGTAATTGCACTGCCTCAGGAGCAGGGTAGTGTGAAGAATCCTATCATTCATTAGCTTTTGAGAAACTGACTTCTTGTGTTTCTTTATCTGTGTAAATGTCAAGTGCTGAGAACCTTTCTCTTTCTATAGGAGATGATTTTAGATATCTTTTCCAACGTTAGAAATTCTGTTATTGTATAATTCTAAGACAGAGTCTGTTTTCTTGTCTTCTTTTATTTTTGAGGTAAATATCCTTGGATCAGATATAATTGGAGGTTGAAAACAGAATAGCTTATTAGACATTAGAGAAGAGAGGAGAAAATTGCATTAATTTCTTAACTTTTTCTAAGGGCAATAAAAACAACATATCATATTTCAATAATGACTTAAGAAATTCTGCCTCACATTTAAATATTGCCTTAAATGTCTTTTGTCACAGTATTACTCAGGTGTCCCATTATTAACATGGGGACCTGGCTTGATAGTAAAATTATTCAGATTTGAAATAATCCCTGTGATTTAGTAAATTCATTACCTACTACTTTATTACAGCTACAGCAATCTTTAACAGTTACTCTACTGTTTCAGATGTGTAAAATCCATGATTATGCCACACAGGTGTATTGGGTTTGCATAACAAGGAGTCATTCACGGGTCAACCCATCCCAACAGGCTGTTTTGTCATAGTGTTACTGATTTCGGTGAGGATAATTAGAACATCTGTAGTGCTCTCCATAGCTTTGAGGAAAAAGAAGATCAAATAATTTTAGTTTATGTGTGACCTTCAGTAATGTTATCTAAACTGCCTCTGTATATACATCATTATGTGTAAACTTGTACAGATTAAATAGAATAATGAATCAAGACATCTATCTTGTCAAGTGTAGGTGGCAAACTCTTCACAACAGGAAGCACCAAGGAGTTCTTTTGGGAAAACTCTACTCAGAGCAGTCTACACCAGCCAGAGAGCAAGCTAACATTTAAGCAAAGGGAACAAACAGGGATCCAGTGCTCATCTTGTTTTAGTTAGCTGATGAGATGAAACCAGGATGACAGTACTAAAAAGCAGAAATATTTCCCTGAAAATAAACTGCCCCTTGGATATTGTACAATTCAAAATTCCTGATCTCCTCTGAAAATCTCATCCTGAGAATGTAACCCTTGAGGAGCTATTAGTTCTCTTAAGATGAAGACAAAACATGCCATTTAGTCCAGTCACAAGTCAAAGAACCAACAGCAAAGCTTTTTATTCAGAGGGACAAATCATCTCTGGAAAGCTCTCACATAAAAATTTCAGAATATGTCCATCCACTCTCATACCCTTTTAAAGGTTCAAATGAATGATGATAATGCTTATGATGTGGCACTCTTAATTAATCTATCATGCACCTCTTATATCTCACTATTTTGGGAGAAAGACATGATAGATTACATGCCACTTGCATATAGACACTCTGAAAAAGTATGCAAAAAATTTTAAACTTTGCCACGGGTCACATATTGGGTCACTGAGATAAATCCTGGCTAGAATGAAACCTCAGCTGGAAATTCCCCATCACATCACACAAAGGTGAAGTAATCAACAAGTTCATCTTCACTTAACGTAGTGTGGGTTTAAAGAAATTCTGAAAAATTGGTAGCTCATGTAAAATTGTTCTGAGTGTGTAAGTTAATGTCAAGGTATTAGGTGAAGTGCAGCAATCTAAAGAGAACTAATTTCAATCTTCATGTTCAAACCTTCATTTTGTACTTTGCAGAATCATAGTGCCAGACCCCAAGAGGTTACTTTTCCTGTCCTCCTTCTCTGGCACAGAATCATTACTCCTTTTTGTCTCATGTTTACTTTCTAAGTATTATTTTCCTCTGTAGACCGATTAACAATAGTTTCTCACAGGTCAAGTTTTTAGACCTTTAATGACTTGATGATCAATTTTGAATTTGTCTCCAGGCAATCCATCCATGGCTTGCTTCAAAAAGTATGCTCATTTCAGTACTTATTTGAATGAACAACTTCATTTTAAAAGTTCCACATTATATTCCTGTTTAAATATCTAAGTGGGATGGAGTGCTTTTTTCTGCAATAACAGGCTTGTTAACTCCAGTAAGCTTGAAGTTATTATCTACTATAATTCTACTCCTCTGAATTGCTGTGTAACCAGTCGTTATCATATAGCATTTGTACATCTGCTTATTCCCAGGTTTTAATTTCCTTTATGCCCTTTTCCTTGTTATCTCATTAATTGCAAGCCTGTATTTTTTTCTTTCAGACAAGCAAAAGCCATGTATTCCTGTAAGGCTGAACATAGTCATGAGCTGTCTTTCCCACAGGGGGCAATATTTTCTAATGGTAAGATTTGTTCTACATTGCCTTACATATTAAAAAGAACCTATAAAAACTGAACTGTATTACAAAATGGGGGTGTAATTCCCTTTTTAGCTCTCAGCTTTTGCCCTGATTTTTCAATTGCTCTTGAATAAATACCATCTAAATAAATATATGTAGCATGTATGGGATTTTTAACAGTGTTTAAAGTTGTGTATATGTTTTTTTGCAGTGTATCCATCAGTGGAACCAGGCTGGTTAAAGGCAACTTATGAAGGCAAAACAGGACTAGTTCCTGAGAATTATGTTGTCTTCCTCTAGTAATCTTTAGTGGACAGCAATATCTTCATGGTATCCATGGTAACAAATAATAAGCACTATGATTTTTATCTGACACAGATATGGGATCAGCCCCTTAGCTGAGTGGTAGATTTCCTTCAGATGCTGCAGCTGCAGGTTACAGAGCTCCCTGCCAACGGAACAGAATGTGATGAAACAGTTAACAGTTTCTGTGCTGAGGACGGTACTCTGTTTAAATAACTTCCATTGTTTGAAAAGGGTTGTTCTGTTCTTCCTTTATGGGTAAGGAACTCTAGAGCAATAAAATAAAATTTAAAAAAATGCTATTTAGCTGCAGACTTTCAGGTCCGAGGATGTTGCTCACAGAAATGTGAAATTTAGAGGCAGTGCACTCTATGACATTTCTTGTAATCTATGGTTTTTAATATGGAAAATCGTGGACTTTTTCATAATGTAAGTACTACTTCTATTGTGATCTGAATTCTTCCTTAGAAAACTTGATTCTAAAATTGATCCTAATCATTTCACATAAGCAATTACTTTACTGTAAATCAGAAGTTGGGACTTCTGTTAGTCATTGAGTTACAATATGGTATAGAATTTATACAGCTGATAATATCAGTTTATACACTGCCTGCACAGTGAATGCTCATTCAAAATGTGATATGTTTAATGAATGTTTCATTCAAATACTTAGTAGATTTCTTTCCTGCTTTCTGTATCAGCATAGATAATATTAACAGCTTTTATTTCAATGACAACCATCATCTGGAAGATATTCTCTCTGTGTCCCAGAACATCTGTAGAAAACAAGGAGATGCTGAATCTGGACTGATGGGGAGTCATGTGAAGTGAGCAGTGAAAAATAGCAGTATGTTTTGAAACCTGAGATAAATTGTAACTCATTCTTTTTTCATTGCAAATAAGACAAATGACCTGTGAACTAGCCAATTTTAAAAGCTATGAATGCTAAAAGCTCCATGTAGCAATAAAACTACTTAGTGTTATTTCTCCTGACTTCTGCTAAAATATTTGACAAAAATTCTCTCCTTCCACAGAATAAAAAATCCTTACTTTTCAAGGTGTTGAAAAGACCTATTGATTGCTCCTGGTAGGACCAAAAACCAAAAAAAAAAAAGCAAATAAAACCAAGTCAAAGAAAACCCCAGAAACACTAAGTAGCTTTCTCACTCTGAGCAGTTTTCTTGTACACCTTGAGGGAAAACATGCACTGCTTGCTTGGCTACTTGCCATTCCTGATTGAAAACCGTGACTTTTAACCTCCATCTTAGTATTTCTTCAACACCAGTGCTTCCAAAACTATTCACTGGTTCATAGAACTATCTAGGCTTAGTTTCATAGATATGTCAAAGCTCAGTTCTTTCTTCAGTAGCAGAAATCAACATACAAATCATCTGTTGATTTCTAAGTCCTACACTGCTTGAAGAAAGTTTAAAGAACTGCTGTTAGGGCTAAAAACATCAGTAATTTTTGACCTGCTTTTTTTTCTTTCCATAGCCTTTTTCTTATTTAAATTGAAAAGTAAGATTCATCACCAACACAAAGTAGCACATCAGAACTTTCTTTACTTACATGTAGTGCATGAATTCTTCAGAGCAGTTGCTGGATTTCAGGCTGGTGGCAGAATCCTGCAGGATCTTTCTCCTCATTAATTCAGTTATTGAGTGATGATCAGAGAAAGAGAGAGGCTCAAAGAACATTTTTCCAAAAATTGTTTTTTCAGAGGGGGAGTCTGAGCAAGACTGGCTGCAGGCAGTTGAGTATAGACCCCAGGCATTAGTGACTGAATGACCTGGGTTCTTTCTTGACCCTAAACAGTTTTATTAATCCCAAAACACATTTCACTTCATCTTAAATCCAGACTGTGCCCAGTGCATGGTGATGAAGGGTTGTTCCAGATGGCACTGGCAGTGAAGGCAGACTTGTGTGTGCTCATCATTTGCCCAGAGCAGATGTGAAAGGAAGTGAAGGTCTTTCCTCAGCCAGTTGAATCTTTCTTCATTTTAAGGCAAGCCAAGGCTTTTTTAGTCTAAGCTATGCCTGAGACTGCGATTGCCCTGAGAAGACCAACATGGTTTTGGTTGTGTTTTGCTGTATTTCGCAATCAAAAAGCTGTAGGATATCAAAAGGTTTGCCTCTGGTGACCTTCCCAGGAAAGTGCTGCTGCAGGCCAAAAGGAGCAGAAAGGGAAGCAGAACTTTGAACAGAGGCTGGGAGCCCAGCACATCTCATAGGGGCAGAAAAATGCAGTGATCAGGGGGAAGGATCCCAGCTTGTGTCTCTTGCATGGAGTCAGTAGAAAACCTGTACTGAACATCCTTGGATGACTCCTCATACTTCTTAAGGGCAATTAATTTGTTGTGAAATTCTTGAGGAATTGTGAAATAGAAAATGTAAAAATTGTTTGCTCTTACTTGCTTTGTTCTAGCATGATTTAAAAATAAGTGGGAAAAAAACCCTTAGCTTAGGTATTTTCACATCCCCTGCATGTGTCTCGCAATTCTCCAGTACTGTGTTTTGAAAGCAGCTGATCTGAGTGCAAGCTAGAGAAGTCAAAGATGCCAAGTTCATTAAAAATTTTGTAAAACTTCCAAGTTCAATTACAGATTAAGCAAGTAGAGCCTGTGAGGGCTGAGGGGAAGGTTGTAGAAAGACCTGGAGGAATCCCTGTGGAGGAGAGGTGTTCATGTGTTCCCACACATTCATCTCACATCAGACCAAAACTAGGATTGGAGAAGACAAGTTCATAAGAAACTGGATTCCATTAATGTGCTGCTCACAGAACAAATCTGTATTTTCCTCTGCAATGCTCTGCAGCTTTGTCAGGCCCTTCTCCTGAACTAGCCATAAATGACTTTTAAGTCATTTAGCTTTAAAATGGCATTTCAATCTGAAAAATGTTATCCCCATTCTTACTTACAGTTAGCCACTCACTCTCCAGGAGCAGGGGTTTTCATTTTTGGAACTCTATGGTTTTTCTTGTACTCTCCTCTGCAGCAGATAGTAGCATTTTCTGTAGGGTCTCACTGCTGAGTGGTGGGTGCCCACCCTACCTTTAAAGAGGGAGTTTGTCTCTACAAGAAGCTGAACAGGGAACCAGAAAGCTGAGTAAGTAGGGCTGCAAAGACTGAAGTGGGGAAGGGGGCAGCACCAAAGCTTCTCTAATGATGATACTCTCAGGCCTGACCAAAAATCTTTTCTGAAAATAGCAAAGAATCAGAAATCTATATAACATTTAAATGGAGATAAAGTATTTTGATAATGCCTTACCAGAAAATTAGGCAATCGGAATTAAATTAGCTCATAGCAGTGATTTACTATTCTTCATGGAAATCAGACTCACTCTACAAGCAAAGGTTAAACACTTTTTAAAATTATTATTATTATTATTATTGTTGTTGTTATTATTACTTTCCTTCCTAAAAGGATGCAGCAGGTTTGTTCCAAATATCACTGTTGAACTCAAGGTAGATGATACATTGTTGTTGTTGTTGTTGTTGTTGTTGTTTGTCTTGTAGAAATAATGTCTGTACCCACAACATATAATTAGCCATGTTTTTTCTTTGTTAAACTTTTTGATACATGTTGCTGCACAACATGAATCAGATTAATAGTGTGAAGGATATATTGTATGATAGATATGTAAAGTATATTAATATTCTATATTCACACTTTTTGTTAATGATGATAAAGATTACGGTTTTAGTGTGTAATTCCTTTGAGTTCAGTATTAAAATGTCTTTGCCATATTTTGGCATTTAAAGTTATATGTAACAAAACTGTTAAATTAAACCATCATTATTACTTGTCCCTAACTAATCTATAATGTTCATTGTACAATTATTTCTAGAAAAAAAAGATGCACAGATTTGCTGACCAGCACTATTCTATGATAGTAATAGTAACTTATTTTCCTTTTACATATTTTCTGGTGCTAATCTCTATTCGTTGCCTGTAATTGGATTGAATTGTAATGTGCCTTTAGGAAAGACATGTTAGGAGAGGAAAGGCTGTAAAATTCTGCAGTTCAAAACAGTAATTACAACAACAAAAAAAGCACTGTATGGTAGTAACTGGATTTTTTTTGTTGTTAACTTTTCTCCCCTGGCCTATTTTCTACTAAATAAGATTGCATCAGAATAAATAATGAAACTAAAAAGCACATTGTTCTTGATATTTCTTTTCCTAAGGCAGAAGGTTGTGCAATTTTGGCTTGAGCAGCAAGAAGAGAAATCCCAGTTGAGGAGCACATCCTCCAGACTGGGATGGATCTTCTCCACTGATGGAAACTCTCAAAGTTCTAGTGAAGTCAAAGACAGACCTTTGGCAATTGATAGTGAAGGTGTGCTGGCCAGAAGCCCCTAGAAAGGAGGTAGAATATTCTGCTAATGTGATAATCTTTGATCCAGCTTGGCGTTGTCCTTTCTTCAGCAGAGGGGCCTGGATGAATTGTTCAGTGGCCAGAGATGAAAGCCATAGGCAGCCTTAGTCTCTCTCTGGCTGGTCACAGAGCCCTGAAGATGGTGCTGCTGCTGCAGCAGCATCCAGACCATCCAGCTCCTGCTCCTGGTTAAGTCCACTGTCAGTCAGGCTTTGTCTGTACCCATTGGGAGGTCTCTTCTTTTTTTGCTTAAGATTTTGCATGGGCTTTGGGAGTTTGCTCTGTTTTGTTTTAGTAACATGCTTGGCATCCGAATTCAGTCGCTGAGGATCATATCCATTCTTTATTTGCCCTGTGTGTGGCAGTGTTTAATAAGCCATCACATTATTCTTGTTGTTTTAAGTGTAGAGCACAGTGCTCCAACCCTTGGACACCCCTGCTGAAAGCTGTTTTGCCTCTGAACTTTCTGCAAGTGTTTTATTGGGAAATGTCATCAAAGCTCTGGCACTAAAGATAGCACCATTATCTCTGCAAGAGTTTCTGTTGGAGCAAAGGGCAGAACAGCTGAACAGGGCACATGGATAGTTTCAATTTTCAATCATATTTATGGCAATTTTGG